AGCAGACAGCCAGCACGCAAAGACGCCCAACCGTGCCTCCAACCATGTCCTCGTTCTTCACCATCCCCGGGGCGAACAAAAAGCGGAAGAGGCCCGAAGCTTCAGATGCACCCAAAAAACGAATCGCAGCATCCAAGGGCCCAGGTCGGGCCGCCCCGCGAGGAGGTGCCAAAGGTGCCGCCTCCAGATCCAAGGCTGCCGCGCCTGCCGGCAAGAAGGCTGCCGCTGCCGATGATGACGACGAGTCGATTTCCGGAAGCGATGACGAGAGCATTGTCAGCGTATCGGACAAAGAGGAGGAAGGTTCCGGGTCAGAGGGAGAGGGCGAGACGGCAGCAGAGCGCCGTTTGAGGCTGGCAGAGAGGTATCTGGACAATGTCCGGCAGGAGGTGGACGAGGTGGGCTTCAACGCCGAAGACATTGATCGAGACCTGATCGCCGAGCGTCTGATCGAGGACGTCGCGGAAGCCAAGGGAAAAGTCTACCGACAATTGGCATCCGAATTCGCCTTTGACGAGGCGACGCACACCTACTTCAAGAACAATGCCGAGACCTTCACATCCGTCGCCGTCAACGCCCCCTACGCCTATACCACGACCAAGGACATGTACCTGCACAAGTGGAGGATACAGGACCTACCCAAGGACCAGTTTCCCCAGACCCAGACCAAGAAGAAGAAGTCAAAGTCGAAGAAGTCAAAGTCGAAGAAGCCCCCCCCACCGCCCCGGAGGAAACCCCAGCTCGAGCAGTGGCTCAAGGGCAACGGTGACCCTACGAACAAGTCCTCCCAACGACACAGCGACCGCATTCTCTGTGTCGCCGTTTCGTCGGACGGGAAGTATCTCGTCACCGGTGGCGAGGACAAGCGTCTCATTGTCTACAACGCCGAGACGCTCAAGCCCATTCGCGTCTTCACCCACCACCGCGATGCCGTCACGGGCCTGGCTTTCCGCCGTGGTACGAACCAGCTCTACAGCTGCTCTCGCGACCGAACCGTCAAGGTCTGGTCCCTGGATGAGCTTGCCTACGTCGAGACTCTCTTCGGCCACCAAGACCAAGTCGTCGACATCGATGCCCTCGCCCAAGAGCGCTGTGTCAGCGTCGGCGCCCGTGATCGCACCGCCCGTCTGTGGAAGGTTGTCGAGGAGTCGCAGCTCGTTTTCCGCGGCGGCGGCAGCGGCGTCGACAAGAAGAGGCCCCTCAAGGATGTGGACCCACGCTCCATCGCACACGAAGGCAGTATGGAACGCGTCGCCATGATCGACGACGAGCTGTTCGTCACTGGCAGCGACAGTGGTGCCCTTTCCCTATGGAGCGTCACCAAGAAGAAGCCCATGCACATGATCCCTATGGCCCACGGCCTGGAGAAGCGCCTGCTGCCCACAGAGGCGTCGGCAGAGAAGGCCCCTGGCGACGATATTGTGCCCCCGCCGCAGCCAAGGTGGATCACGGCACTCAGGACAATTCCATACACCGACATTGTTCTCAGTGGCAGCTGGGACGGCTTCGTCCGCGTGTGGAAGCTCAGCGACGACAAGCGGAAATTGGAGCCGTGCGGTGTCCTCAGCGGCGGGAAGGGGGTGCTGGCCTCCGCCGATGCTGACGTCGACATGGATATGGCGCCCGCCCAGCAAGACGAGTTCCTGATCAGGGGCATCATAAACGACATTGCTATCTTCGAGCGCGGGGAGAAGGCGAAGGATGGCCTGTGTGTTGTTGTTGCCGCTGGAAAGGAGCACAGGCTGGGTCGTTGGCAGATGACCAAAGGGTCGGCCAAGAATGGAGGTTACGTGTTCGAGGTGCCAAGATCAGTACCCCTGAAGCCAGAGGTGAACGGAGCTCATGACAAGGACCCAGAGATGGAGGACGATGAATGAATCAAGTCGGCGGCTGGCGCATATTAGACTGCATATTCGGGTTATGTACAATATGAGCGAACGATACTTGGTCGGACTACGCCTCTTGCTACCTGTTAAGCACCCCCATCACTCTTTCCGGACACAGGGAGCCTTGGCCTTTGTCAAGACATCTTCAATCACATTTCTTGAGGGACAGTAATATGAACTGATCGTTTGGCATTGGGTTCAGAGAACCCCTCACACAGTGTGCTCGGCCGTCTACCTAATATGTCAGGAGTCAAACCAGCCCGGGTTGATCAATACTCTCACCCGTGGGAGCCAAAAGACAATTACAGCAAGTCGCAATGCAAAGTCCAAACGCCTGCCCGTGATTTCATCACACGCGGTATGTAGTCTCTCGTCGTGCCCAGTCACTGTACTTCGGCCAAAATGGAAATCAAAGTCCTGCCCACGCCGGGGTATCATGCATAAGGATATTCGCTGTAATCCGCACCCGTCAGATCGATGTTATTGTCGCCTTTGGCCGCCCGGCGTCCAGTGCCCCCATAGACAACCATCTTGCCTCGGTCATCTCGAGAAGGGGTGTTTCGTGTTACTAGTCCGCGTTGACTTTGACGTCCCACGCTGGGGCTGAGTGTAAAGTGGGGACTCGTCGTTCTCTTTCCCGATGTTTTCTCGCTTTGTGGACTTTCATCGACCACAACAATGGCCTGCCTGTTTTCTCGTTCTGCATGCTTCGTCTGCTGTTTCTCGGGCGATTCGTGTCGTTCATCATGGTCACCAGACATGCTCATATACGACCAGCTGCTGCGCTTAAAAGCAGTCACCCCGTCGTATCGCTTTTTTGGATTACGAAACTGACGGCGAGGTGCAGGTGGGTCAGCCTCCGACAGAGTCAATTCGTCATGTGGCTCTTTCCGCTTAGGCGTCCCTGGTTCTGGAGAACTGCTAGATAAAATTGGCGGGACCAATGGATTGTCGTGTCTACTGACCAGGCGCTCGATGTCCGAAGAATCTACCAAAGGGTCCACCTTCGGCGATCTACGAGGCAATGCTATCAGTGCCTGGTTTGATTGGGGAGGCGACCGAACGGGTTTTGGCGAGGAACCAAGGTTCTGATTTGACGGGCACCGGCCATCTTGGGGGTTTGCGGCGGTGAAATTGCCGGTTTTTCCACTAGACGGAGGGTCAGAACTCGAAACTTGGATTTCCTGGACTGGCTTGCGTGGATTGGTCGTACCAGGTGTTTGAGCAGCGTGTGCCGGTGACGAATCCACGGCTGGAATGTCCATTTTCTTTTGCGCCAGCTTAAGCGCTTTGGCGTCTTGCTTGGCCTGTTTTTCCTTGTCGCGCTGGACGTTCTGTTCTTGTCGTAGCCTTATTATAAGCTCTCGGATATTGCCACGCATGGCGACAGGGTCGATGTCTGACCATCCGAGGTCTTTCTTATAGACGATGTCGCTGATGACCTGATCTGGTTGCTTCAGGAACCTTTCGACATACGCAAGGAGGTAGATACCGCAGCTGCTGAAATCGCTTTGCTCGGGAATTCCTCTGGCGGTCCAACCAAAACGAGGCGGGGTCTCGACGTCGATTTGACGTTTGTGCTTGATCTCCTGCACTAGGTAGTCCTTGAGGTTGGTGCAAGTACGTGAGTGGGTATTCCCCATGGAGTCCAGAGTGATGATTCTAGCGTCGCCGGGTTCCGCTGGACGTTTTCCCCCACCATCGAGCTTCCGGGTTTGCTCCTTGCCCGAGGTAATTTCCTTGAACAACTTGGGAGACTTGCCAGAAGCAATGTCAGAGACAATCCGAACATCTGTTTCACTGTCATCTTGCACATCAACAGCTGGATCTGAAGTTGACTGTATCGGGCTTTCCGGCTGAGGCATGTCCTCCTCGTCAACATTCGTGACAGTTGTCTTCTTGTCATCCGTCACCGTCGCTGGAAGGAGTTTACCAGGATGGCAGATGATGGCCAGATACCAGTGCGCTGCTTCGTTTACTGGAACAATGATGTAGTCTTTGGACAGCAAGTCGATCTTGGCAGTCCATGACTTGACGGCGTCATAGTCGACACCTCGACCCTTTTGTTGGCCCAATCTCTCGTAAAACCAAGGATTCATGAACAAGATTCGTTCCGACCATCCCGCATTCTCGGTTTCCAGCTGATCCTGAAGGTATCTGAGGTAGAAGACGATGAGGTTGTCGTTCAGACACTGGTGTTCTTCGAGCCTAAAAATATCATCCTTGATGATTTGGGCGCGATTCTTGCCACTGGCGGGATAGATCAGTGGCTTGTCTTCCCAGATCTTGTCCCAATCTGGATAGTTTTTGATCCATTGATTGTTGAAGAAATTCATTGCAGACAACGTTTCCATGTCGTCACTTGTGCGACGCTCCAGTTGATTACTTCGGGGGCTTCTGCGGCGAAGTTGTGATTTATCGACATCTGGTGGCGAGTTGGAGGCAACTTTCATTCGATCTCTAAGAGATATACGCCTAGTGGTTTCTGCGGTCTCGGGCGACGCCGGTGAAGATCCCCTGCCTTGTCGGCAGAGTCGAGGATCAAGACCTCGGCGTCTATCCTGCTGTATATGAGTTTGTGCAGCATCTATAGATTCGAGATCGCTGGATCGATGCGCATGTGGCTCTACCTGTTCTGGGGCGCTCTGGTAGAGGTTTTCGAAGACTTTTTGAAGCGTTTCACTTTGGAAAAAGTAAGTATTACAATCCTCGACCAGCTCGGTCTGTCAACATACCGTGGTGGTTGCTCGAGTTTTACAAACTTCAGATCCTGGGCTCCTGTAGCAATGGCGCTAAAAATCCAACGAATGATTGCAATGACATCCGAAATGGACGGAATTTCGATACACAACTTCGGCGATGTTATCGACGTGGACGACCGGAAAAAGACAAGATGCTGTGACTCCTTTGAGAACTTTATCTTATGGCAGTCTCGCAGCGTCAGTGTCAGCCACTGCATGGCCAGCTTTTCGCCTGCTTTGTTGACTGGTACTAGACTGAAGGTGTCTTTTTTGTTCAATCTTAGCCGAATTGTTTGACCGCATTGCTTGGCATCAAAGCGAACCCTGCCTGACACGGCACGAGAAAGAGTGACCTCCTCATCTTGACTTTCTTGCCTCTCTTTAAATTTCGTCTTATGTATATCTCCCTTTGGAGTTTTCCGGTTCGAGGGCGAGACTTGACCATTGAGCGACGGACGTGAGCTACCCGAGGCGTCGAGTTCCTTTGTTGGGGATGCGTTAAGCTCGTCGTCGCTGTCTATAGCTTCGGGAGGCTGTTTTGAGGATTGTTGATAGGTTCGGGAAGACAACCGATTGCCCTCGAGCTGGTCCGTGATCCTTTGTACCTCTTCCACATCACGCTTGGCGATGGCGACGGTCCGCCGGCTTTCAAGTGCTGCAATATCAACTCTGGGCGGTGTCTTTAGGTCGTTGGAACGGCGTTGTCTCTTCGCGTGGTGCTTCTCGTCCTCGGCCAGCTCGTCAATCTCTGGGGACTGTCGTCGTTTGTCGCCAGGTCTTGAGCTCGTAGCCTTTTGGGACACAAGTCCACTCCGATGAGGTTTCTGTGTCGAGTTGACCTCTGGTGCGTTTTCTGCGCCCATATCATCGGAGTCGTCCTTGAACTTTGGTAGAAACCGAGCCACGCTGTGGCCCACGTCTCTAAATCTCCCCATGAAGCCACCCTCCGGCTTCAAGTTATTTTGGGGTTGGAAAGTGCCCTTCAGGACATGTTTTTTTGACCCCATGATGTTGTATATACATCAGTGATGAGTTCGAGGCGTTGGCCGGATCGCGGCCTGTGTTGTGTGCAGGGGATGTTCGGTTCCGTAAATCCAGATGGGATCGGTATCGTCACTTTTCGTTCGGCAGGCTGTACGGAGACCGCTAAAGGAAAATGTCAAAACCATGCTCGGCTCCTGGAAAGATCGCTTGCCATACGCTGGACGAGGAATCCAGTCGGCCTCTTAGGGACCACTTCTTGGCGAGAGCCCTCCGTGCCAGATGCTGACCAGAGGTCAGCCCTTTGTTCACGAAAGAGTTGCTTTCAGTCGATGTGAGGTCGGATTGGCTCGGTCTGGGAAACAAACACAGACTGTCAGAGGGGATGCCATTGCTGCTACTTGCGTACAAACACTCACAGTGGTTTCGCGGCATGGCAGTGATAGACAGTGAATGAACAAATTCTCTCCCGCAGACCTACGCTGCTGTGTTGTGGTGCTCTCAGTGATCGTGTGCAGCCGTATGTGAAGACTAGTGGGGTGCGGGCAGTGATGGCAAGAACAGACCAGCCAGAAAATGCACGTCTGAGGTGCCTACCTAGGTACCTTAGGTAGGTTGCAGTGACGAAGGAGGAGCTGCACGGGGTAGCTCGGGGTTCCACTTTTTGGCCACCAGCCGGCAGCACTTCGCGCTAGATACATATATTACTATATCTGTTTAGCAGGTACTCGAAGTCACTGGATAACCCAGAAACGCATGGGTCCTTGAGTGTAAACATATATAAGGTATGTATAGCCCATACATCTCATACGTCTCCTTGTTATTTCATCATATTTTTATGTGGCTGAATGAGTACCTAAATGATACTCGAAAAAGTTAGTTCTACCGGGCTATTTGAGTATTCATGAGTACCTACCTAGTGGAACATGGGCTTTGGGTTAAACACTACAGGAGGCCCCTCTTTCAATTTATGTGACCCAAGGAACATCACATTTTGGGTATTCCGGAACATAGTCTGAACCTCCCCAGCCCCTTCTTCGGAACCCTGTAACCGAACGCCAGGAAGAAAGAAGTGCAAGGACGACTCACGGAAAGATCCCCCGCTTGTTCCCTCTACTGACCAGCCCTTTCAGCCTCCTCGGTTGGCCGCCCGCTGGTCAAGTCTGTGGTCGAGCAGGTTTTTGCCCCTCAACGAGAACGCCCTGGCTAGACTCGCCGCAAACGACCCAAAAGGCAACCCTCGAGGAGAGCCAGAAAGCGACGTCGCCGAGTCTTGTTACTATGGAAAGTAGATGAGTCTATGGAAGCTCGGAAAAAACCCTTTCAAGATGTGAACTTATGCCAACCACCCAATGAAGAGACCAAGGAAGATGACTGCCCAACCGCCAGCTGAGGATAAGGCATTGACATGCAATCAGTCAAAGCCGTAGTTTGCGATGACAGTAGGGCCATTGGATCCCACGGAACTTGCTGCTCCCATCGCAAAGAACGGAATCGTCAGGTGCGTGTAGACGTGCCAGCAGGGAAACTAGGGATGTCGTTAGCATAATCTCGGTCCAGCTGTTCAACTGTCGGGTTGATCGTCCGCCTTTTTGATCTCCACCCACTGAATGAACTTCCATTTTTGATTTGAGGCCGGGTCGTTGAGAAGAACACGTGAGCCAGTATATGCGCCCCGCTGTCAGGAGACACCCGTGGAGCCACGGGTCGAGGGGCTAGTCGAGGGGGTCGGGACCATGATAGAACGTATATAAGGGCTGAGGGCTAGTCAAGATCTGTTCTTACTTACTCTTTACTTGAAAATTGGCTGCGGATATGACCTGTGAAGAGCCTCTTCACCCTGCTCATCCACGAGCCCTGACACAAATATCTTATCCGAGGCTGATTGTCTGGCCCTCATGTCTGGGAAGTGGTCAAAATAAACCAAGAGCTCATCTCTTATCTGTGAATACAAGAATTCTGTTTAATGTAAGCCAGGCATCTAGAAGTCGTCCTTGGTGGTGCGCCCAGCGCCAGGAGATTTGCAAAGAGTTTCAGCCTTCTTCAGGGAGCCGGGAGTCACTACAACCATGAGCCTCAGTTCGGTGACAACAACGATCCTATCCCCTCCTTGTTGTCGGACGGTCCTTGGGTTGAGGATTAACAGCCCCTCGACAGAAAGTTCTACGGAGGCCTTCTATGTCATAAGGGCTTTGACAGACAAGCTGCTACAGTCTTCGAAGGGAGCTCGGACAGCGAGAAAGACCAGCCATTCTTCACGTACCTACCCTTCACGGCCCCTCACTGGCCGCTTCATGCGCCCAATTGACCACCGCGCATGAGCGGGAGAGGGGTGACGGAGGGCAGTAGCATCGACATAGACCAGAAGTCTCTCGGCAGCGATTATGCCGATTTCTTGAAGCTCCTCACTCGAAGTTTCGGCGGCAGCGACGAGCCAGCACCACATCAGACCGCTAATGGGTATCTTCCTTGAAAATCCTCCGAGCCAAATGACGCGATTCAGGGTTCTACCTCTTCCCTTGGATATCGCAACATCCATTGCCCTGCAGGGTGATCGTTGTCTGCTTGTCAGATCCCGTGATTACAATCTCACCAAGGGCCTTTATGCATGGCAAGAGGCATTGCCGCAGATCGCCTACGTGATGAAGGACGATGAAAGATGATGAAAGCCAGTAATCTTTCCTATTTAACCTCCCAAACTCATCATCATGAATGCTATTTGTACAAAGCAACCAAAAGCACGACGCCTCCTTCATTTCTGGGTATCTATAAAGCAAGCTTTCTGTGTTTTCGTTAGACTGAGGTCCCCGTTCGCTTTTCGATACTTGATCAAACTAAAGACGAAAGTCCAACACTGTTGAACGAAGCACGTCTAGGTGCCACCATCAACTCCCTTCCCCTTGGAATCTGTTGTCCTAAGCAGATGTCGTAAGCTGCCCTCGGCATGGCTTGTTGAGCCTCCCCCTTTCGCCGACGCTGGACTGATTCCCATCACAGGAGGAAACGACCATGTGGGCATCCAGCCACTGAGGCCGCCAAGCAAAGTGCCCGGAGCTTGGGTCTGGGAATCCCCTGTATGAAAAGTCCTACTTTTTCGTTCTTCACTCTGGTCTCTCGCGCCTCTGGGATCAATTGGGCCTGTTTCCTCTGGCTCTGTCCGTACTTGGAGGTGATTCATAGAGGTTTGTGGCAGCGCAGGCTCGCTAAGCAACGTAGAAGACGAGCTCCGTGGCGTTGTAACATCGTTTATGATCGGGTACTGGCGTGTGCTCTCAATCATGGCTGAGGCAAAGGATGATGACTTCCTCCTCCTGAGACTGACTTCACAAGTGACGCTCTCCAGTCGCGGGCGTTGCTCGGCAGGAGACGCACTTGCCTGGGTTATTTCGACTTTCCGCTCTGCTCGCCCTCGAACCTCTCGGGTGATTTCGCTGGCGGACTTCTTTTTGGACTTGCCATCCTCCGACGAACCGCTTGACGACATGATGGTCTCCAGGGTGCCCATGGCCATGCTTCTCCGCCGGGCGCCACCACCTCTCCTCTTGTGAAGACGACTCGCTTGCCGTTCATCATCCGAGGTGACTGCCTGCAGAGTGGGTCCGTTGGTGTGCTGTTGACGCCGTGATGACACCGAGGCCATGAACGCGGCGCCAGACCCATGAGGGGTGACATGCACTTCATACTGGTTGCTGAGGGAATACCGAGATCTGGCACAGATCTCAGCAATGCGGTCTAGGTCAGCGTTGATGCTGGTGTCTTCCTCTGCCTCCATGTTGGCCATCATTTGTTTAAAGCTGTACGCCTCGATGGGCGGCAGCTTGGTCGTCGCATCACGACTGCCTAGGCCCTTCTTCGACTTTGCTCTTGCCATGCTCAGAAGACCATGCTGCTGACCGCTGAGCGGCGACCGAAAGGCTATGATACGCCTGACTGAAGCGGCAGGGCCGTTGCCAACCGAGTTGTTTGCGGTCGAATGAACAGGCTTCCCTCCTGCAATGATGCTCCGCGTGGTGCTCGACTGCCTGCTCTGCGTCTCTGAATATGTCCGCACGAGCACAGGTTGTGAGTTGGTGCTGCTCTGAGCGCCTGTCGACTTCGCGTAACGGCTGCGCGACGGGTAGTTCACGTTGAGTTCTCGGAGGGCCAGGGTGCGGTGGGCGGCTGTGTCGTCGTCGAGTGGTATCGGCTTGCCCTCTGCTGTGGATGGTACGAGAGAGGTCGATGAAGTGTTCGGCTGGAAGAGAGGCGGGAAGGAGAAGGGCAACGAATCGCGTCTTGAGTTTTTAGGTTGCCGGGAGGTGGATGGCTGCGATGAAGCGACAGATGCGTTTGAGACCAGTTGTGTCGGAGGTCGGTAGCGGCCGTACTGACCAGACGTGGCAGGCCTTGTCTGGTCCATCGTGATGTCTAGCACGTCGTGCGGCGGATGGTGGTTTTTATGTATAGTGAGGCAGACAGGCTGGCATACAGCACCGTGGCTGGCCACAGGGGCCGATCCGCGTCGTGCTGCAAATGGGACGTTAGTTTAGACAGCGGCCGATGGCAGACGCATGGTGCCAAAGGCTGTTTGTGGCCGAGCGTGGGATTCTGATCCACACGGAGGCAGACGAGGCGATTCCGTGCTGAGCAGTGTCGAATCGAGACAAGTCGGATCAGATATTCGGGCGGTTAGTCTGCTATGTTCCGAGGTGCTCGAGGCACGAAAGTGGAGAGTGGACAGCGAAGAGGAGCAGACGGGACGCAATTCGCAACACCCCGAATTGATTGTATGGGGACGGAATCGCGGTATCTGGCGGGAGGGAGGATTCTGTCGAGGAGGAGAGGAGGAGAAAAGAAGAGCAGTAGTTGGACTGGAGGTTGAGTTGCAGCCGGGCGCAGGAGAGCGCACGACAGTGATAGGCGACTGGCCTAGTCGGACGAGTGCATGCTGCACGTCTGTCGTGGCTGTCGTTCAAAGGGTGACCCAAGACGAGGGGGCCGTCTGGCGGGGGAGCCTAAGAAGACGCACCAACCAATCGCCGCTGCGGGGTTGCCGTACTTGCGTGGGCTGCCGAACAGTGCCACACTGTGCTGTTTTGACCATATTTAGCACCTGGTTTCCCCCTTTTCACACTGTCTCTGCTTGCTCTTGCCGTCCCCAGTTCGCCTCCGCTCGTCCTTTCCTTCCACGCCCTGCGATACCTTCTCAGTCTCTGTCGCTACTCACCTACCTTACCTACCTACCTAGCTAGGTACTGTCTGGGCCCTCCACTTATACGCACCATCCGTGGTCGACATCAACTCATTGTTGTCTCGAACTCCTAATCTCTCGACACATAGCATGTGGAACGTCGACGTAGCTCAACCCGGTTTCGTGCTTCGAGTACGAAGGACCAATTCATGACTTCCTGCTCCGCGTGTGCTGGCTCTTAGTGACTCGGGAAAGCCGCTGGTTTCCCCCCTCATTAACTCTTAATGTACGCCTATGGCTGCCACTGCTGCATGCTGCTACCGTAGGTCGACTCATGCTTGCTTGGATCAATAATGACAGCACACATGGCAGCCTGCGTATCGGCAGAATACAACCGAAACGTACACGATTTAGCCTCTCACTGTCTGTATGCCGCCACTCGTCCTACGCGAACAGCCCGGCACATACAGGTCCTCGTTGTTCATGCATGGTGCCCCTGAATACCAGAGTACAATGACAGCCTCCGGGCAATCTACGACACATGGAAAGGTCTCAGATGACAGCACGTGTGCACCGCTACGCACCCCCGGTTCTGTTCTTCAACTTCAACTGGCCTAGCCACAGACCGGCAGACACGCGAGCACATACGTTTCCATTGAGGACCTCTCCGGCAGCGCAGCATCTAGGTTATTGAGCCCGATGCTCGGATATCCTCGTCGTCACCTTTTGGCAGCTTGCCGGGGTGCGACGCTCCGGTGCACAATGACCAAACCAATCCCATGTTTCAATAACTGTGTTGGCCCATACTTGCCACGTTCTTCGGCAGTCTCTTCAGGTTCGCCGCCTCAAGTGTCCACGACTCGCTGATCTGCTAAACCTTGGAGGGTTCGAGGACCTGGAGAGGCCCTTGTCGCAACATGTAACCTGACCTCTTGGATGTCCAATCGTCCCAATTGATTTTTCATGTACTGCCTCATTCGACATGCAAAACCTAATGGTTTCTAACTCTACTTCTAAGCACGGGCAGTCTATAGCTTCATATGCTGGGGTCATGGTTAGGTCATACAGCCGTATATGGGTTAACATGTCTTGTTGTTTAGAGGACCGACAAGACCTGGGTGTGTTTGTATGAGTTCAAGTTGAAACAGTTGGGCCCGTTGCGCATCGTTGGATGAATTTTGGCGAATCATGCGGCGGCAAGACAACTGCCCGAGGCTGACGCCGCTTGGAATTTCGTGAGCGATCACCGTCTCCCGTACCCAGTCATTATAATCTGCTGGCTCGGCCCCTCTTTCACTTCTGGCCGATATGCCTTTCCCTTCTCTTTCTGCTCTCCAGGAAAAAACGCTGACTTATCCACAAGATCCAATTGTCCACATATGGGTAAGCATATGGGTGAAGGAGATTGAAGACGCGGACCCTTGTTCATGTCTTCAGAGCAGCAGTGCCTTTCCCAACATGCCTCCTCAGTCACCGTAATCAAGGCGGGTAGCATGTGCGACGATGACTCGTCTCAATGACTTGCATTAGTAGCTAAGCTTGACTGGCCCTACGAAGACAGGCCTTGGGTTGTGCTCCCACAAGCATTATCGACTGCTCATCCACCCACCCGCCCGCCACGACAGAGCAAACGAGTATGACAACACCATGTCCTCCTCACTGCACTGCGAAGTGTGCTTTCTCGTGGAATCACTCATCGTATTGCAGGATCGCTCATCTCGATGGAAGCGCGCTCTTCTAATAACGTGTGGTGCCGTAGCCGGCACCAGCGCCAGTCTGCACCTTGTCGCTGTAGATACCTGGCGCGCGACTTGACGAGATGCGACCTGTAGCAGCCTGTTCGCGTCGATCGTAGTAGATATAGAGAACGTAGAGTCCATGAATCAAGCCGGGGATGAAACCAAGTATCGTAAGGAAGATGTTGACAACGAGGTCCATGCCACAGCCAGCTGTGAGTATAACACCAATGGGTGGCACTGTGAGCTCGGGTTAGCATCAGGACGAAGCATTCAGATACTAACACTCACCGAACAGCGTTACGAGGACAATGAGAAGAGCTGTGATTCCACCACCGGCCATTTTTGCGGATGTATGTGCCTTTTTGATATTATTTTGTAAGTGATTATTGGGACGTTGCGGATGCCGTCTTAAGTGGTTGATATTAGTCGAAGTTGTAGGCTCTCCACGCATGCGCACTTTGGGTTGAGTTCTGGCATCTTAAATGCCTTCAAGAATTTGCCAATACCAGACCACTTGGCTGGCGACTTCAGACGATTGCGCGTCCCGTCTACCGTTAGTCCAGTTTTGTGGCCTCGTTCGCAGTCCAGACACCTGACATCGTGACGTGGGCGTAGAAAAATTAAGCTCTGTATGACGTAGGTGCAGACACCCACTCGGGTGTTCGGATTGTACTATGCTCGGCGCCGCCGTCTTGGAGCAGAGCCCTCGCACAGCGGTAGGTTCCGTCTCGCATTGCGCTGCGTTCGTCTGCCTTATAGGGTGCATCGCGAGTCAGTGCTTTCAATTTACTGTGTGATGGTGCCGAGCGGGTTTGCGGGCTCTGCCGCATTTCTTCCTCGTAGTCCCACTCGGGCGAATGTCAAGAAACGAAGGCCAACATCTCAAGTCGGACTACCCCGTCAGAGAGCTGAAGAACGGCATGTTGTTCGAAGGTCAGGTGACGCCTGGTATGACATATCCTTCAGTTCCGAATGAATAGAGACTCTGCGACCAATTACCGGAATTCGTAAAGACCGAGTCGGACGTGACCAGCTACAAAGCAGTCACCACATCTACAGATAGGGCGACTCGCTGGCTGAGAAGCAAGCAAGCCTTGAATTGGTGGTCCATCGTCCAGGCAGACCAAGGGTGCTGGTCTGTTTCAAACCGCTTGAAAGAGCAATTTGGTATTATACTTGGGCGAGCTGCCAAATTTTGAGGATCAAGGAAACTCACCCGGTGCCTCCGAGTGTACCGGTCGGAAGGTTGCCAGGCCAATCTGTCTGTCTGTCTTGTTGTGTACACGAACGCCTAACAAACGAGCACCAGCAAGGCAGCCCGATATCGATAAGCGCTGGAGCAGGCTTGTCAAGAGTAGTGGACTAGCACGGCTATTATCAGCCAGCGAGAGTGTGGTGTCACAGGCAAGGGGTTCTTCCGCGTTTCTGGAAGCATGAGCCCTGTCGGTGACGGACAAACGTCCAAGTCTGCTGGATTCGGGTATTGGTTGAGCAAAGTCAGTCAAAGCGTTTTGTGGGTTCAGGCAAAACCCCTGAACACTGTCGATTTTGCACGGAGAAGCTGCCTGGTTCCTCGATAGTTGTTGGTTTGCAAACGGGTGAAATAAGAGACGGATTGTTTGCCTAGAGCAGGCCGGCGGTGTCGCGACGTGCCGTGCCGCGAGGTGGCCAAACGTGCAGCTTGTCCGGGTGCCGGTTCAAACGCTGGCTGACCCGGTGCGTGGTGTGATCTGAACAGGGTACACGGCGGAAGCTGATACATCATTGTGGACTGATATTGTCGGAACGAAATGACGCCTCGCCGACGCTGGAACCTCGAAAGGCCAACGTAATGACTTTCACAGGCCTCCAACTCGCCAGTGACCAACCCTCCAGCACTTCTGTCATTTGATTTAGGCCGAGCCGGAGCTGTGTTTTGAGGGGACCCAACTCACTCCCAACCTATTGCAGAACAGTCTTGTCGTCGGTGTTTCGAAACGTCTTGGCCTGCTACAACAACTGGAGGCCGAAGCAGTCTGTCGTGCATCCCTAACCGATTGAGAAGGCGGCAGCCAATCCTTTCCGTGGGGGGTTGCTCAATCAATTCGAAGGCATACGGCCGCTGGGGTCGCCCTCATTAGCTCACGAAGCACTCACTAGCTCTGTCGGCTGAGGCTAGGGAGGGGCCGGGGTGAGATGTAACCATGTATGATGAGGACGCCTCCAACAAAAGCTGGAGGCTGTCTGATTGAGACATGCTAAGGTGGGTGGACGACCACCCATGACGCCAGCTGTCTGAGCTCACGGCACTGTGGTCACAGGCCAGACTCGAAGAGTGCGACCTGAAGTCACGAATCCACGAAGGTGGTTCGCAGAGGCGGTCTTGTCCCCTGATCCGTATCAGTCGTAGGGGTTAACCCAAAGCTGCAAAGCTGTTGTGACAGAAACGTCTGTGACCATGTTCCATGCAGAGCAGGCTGTTACATCCGGCGGAAGTGATCGGAAGCAAGGCTGTGACAATGAGGAGGCCAACTCGCCAGCTCGCCTGAAAGGCTGAAGCTTAAGCCGTCACAGTCTGGAGCGTAGGCTCGAGAAAGCCATCGTGGGAACAAGTGGTACCTGACCTGGGTCCCTTTTTGGCCAAGGCGAGTACTTCAGCCCTCCCGCGCACCGTGTTGGACATGTCGAATCTCGGAATCCAACAAGACGAGGGATCCTTCGCATTGATTACTGCTCTTGGGCCGGTATGTGCGATACCTGAGATAGCGCATGTCGATTGCCTTGACGTACCTACAAAGGAGCGCCATCTCTATCTCCGTCATTCTCTCCATCTGATATCATGTCGGATGGAACCGTTGGCCGTTGGGGTAGGAGGCTTTGGCTTGAGGTCCTTAGGAGACACGGCAGCCATGCGAAACGGGGTTGGCTTGGTTGATGATGTGGCCTTCTGTGCTGTGGCAGCACGGTTGCATTTCCAGTTGCATGGCAAGCATGGATGCGAGCGAGATATGGACACTAATACCGGGGACGGCTTGCCAGGGATCCCGGCGGAGACGTCGGCCCCCTGTGGCCTGTGGGAAAGCTTTGGGAAAGAAGGAGTCAGGGACCCGAGGTGTTGTTTCTCCTTCCGCCGCGCGCTGGATGCAGGCACCGGGCGCCAGGTTCCCCCCTAGCGCTGCCACCCGCCCAAGGGCCGTCACGGAGGCACATTCGTAGGACAGCATGTTTGGGTTGCCGAACACCGGGAATCGAGGACTCCAGCCCCTCTTGAAAACTGTCATACCAGAAGATGCCACGGGGTTTATGGTACGGTCCGTTACTTAGTACCTACCTTGCGTACCTAGGTAAGGTAGGTAGGTAAGGTAGGTAAAGACACGATACGATGAATCGTTCGTCGACCCGCCCGCTACTTGCCTACAACCCAGGCACCCAGGCACCGAAGGTCCCTGCCTCCTAGGCCCCGGCAAGGCGAGAACGAGGTAGGACGTGCCTGTGCGTGCCCATGCCCCTCTGTGTGTCTGCCTTTCAAGCTGGTGGTGCCTGCCCGGACAGGCACTAATTGCCTCCACTGCCACCCCCAATAGGTTGGGCTCGTAGGTAGGTACCTACCTTAGGTGGGCAGGTAGACAGGTAGGTACCTACCTTAGGTGGGCAGGTAGACAGGTAGGTACCTGCCTGTCATCTTGTCACCTCAACTGGCAGTGCCCAAGTACCTCGCCTAAGGTACCTTACCTACCTACCTGGTACCTACCTACCCCCATTTACCCTGTCGCTGCCAGTCGTGCCAGCCGTGCCAGTCGGGTCCCATTTCAATGAATAAGGTACTCCACGCCGCGTCGACCACGTCCTATCCCCGTCCTCGTCCCGAAAAAAGGTCAACGAACTCAGGCCAGAGGTACTTTCCCACGCCAACACACCTGTGACTGGACCAGGGCAATTTTGTTTCCAACTCCTGGGCTTCCACTCTGCTGCCTCCATCCTTCCACCTTCGCCTTGCCTCTCTCTCGCTTCTCCTTCCTTACCACCTTACCTTCCTTTTCCCGGATTCCATCCCCCACGGCTGCCAACCGCCAGGGAAGAAAAGTACCCGCGCCTCGACTGCATTGACTGACGACCGCGTCAATTCCGTCCTTGCTGCTCTCCGTTCCCTTTCGCGTTGCTTGCTTTGGTCGTGCTCGCATCAAGCTCCGCCTTGCCGCACCAACTCCTGAAGCTACCCTCCGAACTTCATCCGCCAGTATCTCTTTCTCGTGCCTCTCGCCCAGTCGCCTGAGTCAAGTCTCTCCAACTCCAGCTTCCCGACATACCTTCGTCTTTTTTTTTTTTTCCCTCTCCTCGACAGCAGCGATACCCATCCGAGGCAGCAACACGGCACCCTCTCCTGCTTCCCGTGCCTCCGATACCGAGGACCCTTTTTTCCCACTGTACAGTACAAGCTCCGTCTGACGGCGAATCCAGCCCCGACTACCCAACATGTCCGGATCTCAAGCGGGCTCGCAGCTCAACATTGATCGCTACGTTGTGATCCACGTCGCCACCACCTGCGACGAGCACGGTGTCTATGTCACCAAGGATTCTGCTGAAGTCATTGAGCTTGGATGGATTTTGCTCGATGCTAAGTCCCTGGAGGAAGTAAGCTATCGTCCTCCCCATCCACCCCCTCCCCTTTCTGATGACGTATTTCTAATCACTACCCTACCTAGATCGTCCGTGACAGTGCCCTCGTCAAACCCATCAACACCCCTATCACGCCTCTCTGCAGTATGTCGGCTTCTTCTCTTGTTTTTTTGTTGCTGTCGCGGCCGCCGCCCTGTCATCCCGGCAAGGCCGCGCGCCTCGGCCCAAAAATTCGGTCCAATATCTAGGTGCTAACCATCTGCCCACCAGCGAGCCTCACAACCTTGACTTGGGAACATGTTAGGAACGCTGGCACCTTTAGGGATGCTGTCAACCGTTTTGATGCGTTTGCCAATGAGCACTTGACCTCGCAGAATCTTGACTTTGTCTTTGTCACTCTCGATGCCTGGGACCTTCGGGTTCAGCTGCCTCGCGAGGCCCGCGACAAGGCTGTCGTCCTGCCTCCTTACCTCCAGCACTCGCGGACCTTTGATCTCCGCACCGAGTACCAGCGATGGCAGCAACACCACCCCGAGTCGCTGCCCTTCGGCCCCTCGATGCTCTCCAACATCTGCGCTGCTCTCGAAGTGGAGCCTGTTCAGTCGAGCGCCCCCATCAAGCACAACCTGCCATTCCACCTCCAGGCTTTGGCGCCTGCTTCTCCCCGTCGTGCCATGGAGGAGGCTGTCACTCTTGCCCGGGTTCTTCGTGGCCTGATCCGCAAGTCTCAGCCTGCTCATGAGCACCCCGATGTCCTGACACGTCCCATGGACGCTCGTGCTGATGTTAGAGCCTTCTTGTCCGAGCGAAGCAAGGTCCTCCACATGTCAGGCCTCCCCCACGACACCACCCAGTCGGAGCTTGAGAGCTGGTTCACTCAGTTCGGTGGACGTCCCATCGCCTTCTGGACTCTGCGCACTCCCGAGCAGCACAAACCCACTGGCAGCGGCTTTGCTGTCTTTTCCTCCCACGAAGAGGTGAGTTTGTTCCATCCCCATCTGACTGCACCGTGCCAGTCGGAGCCTGTTCTGATCCCTTCAACAGGCTGCTGAGAGCCTCTGCATGAACGGTCGCGCTCTTAACGAGAAGGCTATCGAAGTGTCACCCTCCTCGAGTCGTGTTCTGGACCGCGCTGCTGAGATCCTTACGCCCTTCCCTCCCAGCAAGAACCGGCCCCGTCCCGGTGACTGGACCTGCCCCTCGTGCGGATTTTCCAACTTTCAGAGGCGCACAGCTTGCTTCCGATGCTCCTTCCCGGCAGTGAACGCTGGCCCCTCGGGCGAGATCGGATACGGCGGCGGCGGCGGCGGTGGTGGCGGCTACAGCGGCTATGGCCCCCCTCAGATGATGCCCCCTCCTCAGCACCACCACGGTCACATGGGACACGGTGGTGGTCGCATGGGCGGCAGCGGTGTTGTTCCTTTCCGCGCCGGCGATTGGAAGTGCGGTAATGAAGTATGTGGTTACCACAACTTTGCTAAGAATGTCTGCTGCCTCCGTTGCGGTGCCAGCCGTGCTGGCGCCGCCGTTGTTGCCGACTCTGGTGGCTACCCGTCTCCCATGGATCCCCCTTCCAGTTATAACATGAACCAGGGCTCAATGGGCGGAAACACTGGTCCCGGCCCCTTCGCGTCGGGTGGTGGCAACTTCGGCTCCGGTGGTGGCTATGGTGGCGGTCAGCATTTCGGTGGCCCCCCCAGCACCTACGCGCTTCCCTCAGGCCTCGGCGGTGGCGGTGCCGCAGCGTACCCCTCGTCCTTGAACACTCACTTCGGTCCGGCCCCGGGCGCTCACTCGGCCGGCCCTTTTGACAGCCGCGCTGCCGAGGCGGCCTTCCAGTCTGCCTCCAACGGACCCGCGTCTGCTGGTCCGTCGAACAACTTCTACTCGCAGAACGAGAACGACCCTTTCGCCTTCCTTTCTAGCGGTATCGGAGGCCTCTCTGTGACCGGCGGAGATGCTCGCCAGAACGGTGGCTCCGCGCCCCAGAACAAGTCCCCTGCCTAAGCAGTTTGTGTATTCACCAGACGGCTGTATATCGATCGCCTTTTTGCATCGGACGTTGAAGAACCCACCCCTCGACCGCGGAACGAGCTTTGAGACGAGACGACGATAGAGCATTTGCTTTGGCATCAACGACCCCTCGACCACTGGTCATCGAGGGAAACCCATTTGTTTCATGTTTCAAGTAAGGCGGTCGGCAAGATGGGGAAGAATCTTGGGCCACGGTTGTTGTCAGAATACCATGAGTAACCGGGTACAAAAGTTTGCGAGGCGGGAAAGACAAAAGAGTGTTACTACAACTGGACGGATTCGGAACACGTTGGGCGGAGTTGCGTTTGATGCCGTTGAGCATCAGAGTCCGTACAAAAGGGCTGGCTACTTTGGGGGACTGGACTGCGGAGTCGGACTTTTGCCCATTGGGTGGGGTTGCGCGCGAATGGCTTGTGGCATGACAGCCCAGGGGGCAGTACGGTGGGAGAGATGCATAGCGAAGGAGTGGGAAAGGAACCTCGGCTTCGGTGTGCGGTCTCGCTCTTCTACTTCTTCGATCGATGTCTGTCCTTTTTCCTGTCTCTTCTTTTTTTTTATTTGATCTGCTTGTCTTTTCTGATACTCTCACACCCCTCTCCTCCACCTCTTCCATTCTCATTTCGTCCTTGTTCTCTTCCCACTACATTTAGTTCGCTTGGGCATTTGGCTTTGGCTTTGGCTTTGGCTTGAGCTTTGCCCCCCTTCAAGATGGTTTCACGGTTGGATGGGCGGCAGAGTTGGGGGAGTCGGGGAGTGATCATGGTCAGGCGGGCTGACTGCTTTAATTTTCTTTCGCGTCCGAGAATGCGAAACGTGTTGCTTTCCATAACTCGTCTGTTCCAAGTTTTACCTCCTGTTGCATGCCGTTAGCCGGTGGGGTGTAAAAACTGCATCCTGCAGGCGGCGTCAGGTATGAAGAATACTATTGCTTGATTTGCCAAGGCGAGGTCCGCGAAGAGTAGCTTCATGATGACATGATGGCCGTTGTTGGCATGTTAGAGGTGAGTCCATCATGCGTTGGCACACGTTGTATGGCGAGTGTAAATATGTTAACAAGACCGATTAGGTATTGATCGCTTGAGGGAAAATGAGCATCTGCAATACTATCGTTTATAATTTGCCCGAGCCAGCGAGCTGTTGCGGTCGTATATGCATGCCGCTCGAAGGAGCGACACTTTCCTTTGTCCAATCCATGACCATTGTCAATCTCTTGATCCCCTGCTAACCTGCTCAGCCAAACATCCAGCGATGTCTCTCAAGAAACATCCAACGATGTGCTTGCTGCGTTCTCATCACATTTCGGGCGGGGTATTTGAATTGCTCAGATCGTCGTACAGATTCCAGTCAACGTCTCCATCGTCCGTCAACTCCGGATGTAGGGCGGGAGCCGTGCTGTCGTCTTCATCTTCACCATGACCTTCCTCCTGCCGCTCATAGAGCTCGAGATCATCAAATTGCTCAAAACTCTCGTCGTCAGGGGCGTTGATCTCGTCGACGTACTCGAGCCACTGCGGGTCCGAGTCCTCGCTCTCCCAGTCGACCCACGCCTTGTCAGCCCTGATTTCTTGGTCCTCGTCGGCGAGGCCTGAGCCGAACAGGACGCCATAAATGTACAGCCGCACGTCGTCGTCGGACTGCGCGCCATCAACGCGGTCGGTACGTCGCATGGCGTCCCTCATGGCCTCGGTCAGGGTCGGCTCGGATCCGCGCAAGGCGCCGCTTCCCGGCTCGGGGCTGACGACGGTGCGTGTCCATGTACTGGGGTCGTCTTCCGTGGGCAGGGCGGAGAAATCGATGCCGTCGTCGGGGTTGATGGTTGGTGCGCTGCTTGCAGATCCGCCGCCGCCGACCATGTCGGCCTGCACAGCGGCGTTGATGCGGGCGATACGGCTGAGGCGTGCCTGGCGCGCAAAAAGGTACTGTCGCTCGGAGCGGAAGGTGTCCAGGTTCTCCTTGAGGAGGTCGGCGCGCTGGAGCTGGGAGAGCTCGGCCCCACGTGGTGGTTTCCATGATGTCCGCGTCCGGGAGCTCGTCCTCGTCCAGGAAACCATCCTCAGGTATGCTCTTCTGGCCCCAGAGGATCATGTAGATAATGTGACGGTCAATGTCGAGGCCGCGGCGGGCGGCCTCGGTGCGGATGAGCTCATCCGGGCGTTGAAGATGGCCTGTGCCGCGACCCCAGGCCTCGAGATGCAGGACGCCAACCTCGTGTGCAGGGACGCCAAAGACCTTCTCCCCGAAGAGAGCGCGCCGGTACTGTTCGTGGACGGGCAGGTAGTCGTAGCAAACTTTGAGCTTGACAATGTCTCGCAGCTCCGTGAGGCCGCGGCGTGTGAGTATGAGCCAGAGCTTGTAAAGGGTGCGCTGACCCAAGAGGAGTTTGACAAGGGTGTTCATGAAGGGGTCGGCCCAGACGGGATCTCGAAAGTGCATGCCAAGCTTGGTGAGAAAGAACTGAATATTGTGGAGGTCAGCGTGGGTCCAGAGAGCTTCGTTCCCGATCATGGTGGTGCGGCCTTTTGTCGTGGCGACGTCCATGAGAAGCCACATCTTCTTGAGACTGCGCTCGGTACCAATGGGCAGCTGCTGGCCCCCTTGTTCGAGGGCGTCGACAATATCGTTGACGCAACGCTCGCGGAGCACTTCCATCTGGTACCACTTCAAAGAGGGCACATGGCGGACTTGGGCCATGACGGCGTCGAAAGGATCGAACTGCTTGGAGCCGAAGGCGTTGGTGCGGCCGGCGGGGTCTCGGACGCAGAGGTGGCGGTAGAGCCGAAAAGAGAAGATGTCACCGCTCTCGGCAGCGTGCCGACGTACCCACATGCGGAGAGTCGAGGTCATGACGGCACTGATGGCACTGTGGAAGGTGCGGCTGACGGAGAAGAGGGACAGGACGTCCCTTGGCGCGAGGTGACCACCAAGCTCGACAGCAAGCTCGACGTGCTGGCAAAGGGACTCGATGAGGCTGAAGCGAACGCGCATGCCTCCCATGCTGCGCCGGATGGAGGAAAAGGGGTCACTGCGGCACACACGTTTCGCGTGCTCTCGAGTGTGGTACTCGACCTCTGCGGCGTCACGCCAAGGCTGAGACTCAGGGCCGTAGGCGAGAGAGTCGTTGATGATGTCGTTGTCAGGGATGACACCTTCCATCTCGAGATCTTCGTCTGTAGCTGGGTCATGATCCGCATCTGCAGCCTCCATGGCGTCAAGCTCGGCGCGGGCTCGAGTCTGTATGGCAACAACGAGCATCTCGTTGGTAATGGTCTGCCGCGGATATTGGGTCTCGAGGAGGGCTCTGGTCTCGGCAATGTAGGCGTCAAAGTCGGCAAGGGTCGCGCCCTTGGGTGCAAGAGGCACCCCTTCAAATGGTGCCACATCCATTGCTGTGCTGCCGGGTTAGTGTCAAGCGTGAGGTGCGATGATGAATCGTATTGGTGGTGAGATGGCAATCGTTGACAGTGATGAGCCGTTTAGTTGTGATCAGCTTTCAGGTTGCACAGTTGTGCTCGGGGGACCTATTCTCATTTGAAAGAACGATGATGGTTGGGATGGGAAATCTAGTGGTGATTCCAGGAGAAAGTATTGCAGATAGGTAGGTACCTTAGGCTGGAGTGGTGAATGGGGTAGTAGGCAGGCAGACACCTCTGGGGAGGAAGGAGCAGCAATTGCCCTTGTCTGCCAACCCTAAGCTCTGCATCCGTATCAGTCGATGGACTTATGCTCGAGCATTTGTACTGCCTGGTTGAAGTTGGCAGACCACCTCTTCAGACTGCTGGCCGGAGCATAGTTTTCAGTAGCAGTTTTGTGTTTGTTGGAAGCAGAGATTTACCTACCTCTATTACCCCATGTCTGAAAAATTACGGCAAGGAAAGGTTTGGTCACGGCGGGATCGAGAGGAATACTTCAAAGTAGAAAGAGGCAGTTGGCTACAGTTGCCCACATATCTCGCTGGCTAGCAGGGTACCATCGTATCTGTTTTCATTCACATTACGATGCTACTTCGCTCTCTGAACCATTGGTCAACGATGAAGAGAATTCTGCTATTCGCACGTGGACACAGTGGGTGTGGTGTCCTCTCAAAGGCAATGATTCAAAGAAAATCTTCAGCTCCCGAGGTTACGGCTGTCTTGTGAGTCCGTTCATGACCTGGCAGAAACCAAGTTTCTTGAACCCTCCGCTTGTTGATCCCTACCGAAACGCCGTAAATCGACTCCTACCAACGGCCAGCACGATCAATGCTCCTTTCGCTTGACCTGCAAAACCTGCAGAGACTCTCGCAAAAGGTCCACAGTATGATTGGTTTGCTTGAGTCTGCGATGCCTTTGCTAACGGTCAATTTCGTCGAGGCTCATGTCACCGTCGTCGCGGCCGACGATCGAGTCTGCCACCCTCCAGATCTGCAGCAGGTTGTCCTCGGCAGCGCTGCAGACGAGCCACGGGTCGTTCGGGTTCCACGCGAAATCTGCGAGGTGGTTTGTGTGGCCTCCATGCATGAAGAGAAGCTCCGGTGGACCGTCTTCCTGGTCGTCCGGCAGCTGCTCGTCGCCAACCCGTGAAAGATCCCAGAAGATGATTCTTCGATCGTAACTGCCGCTGCCCAGGATGCCAGCCTCATGGGGATGCCATGACAGCGAGGTGACGGCGTCATTGTGACCCTCGAGAGTGTGGATTTTTTCCTTGACATTCCTCAGATCCCAGACGCCCAGAGTCTTGTCGGCGGATGCAGTGGCCACCAAGACCTCCGAAGCCGGGTTAAATGCAAGCGCGTTGATAGCATCCGAATGGCCGCGCTTGGCGGACAAGGACGCAATGTTGGTCTCCGGCGAACGCACGTCGATGATCTGCATCGTCAGATCGTCCGAGACGGTACCGATGAGCGACTTCGAGACCGGGTGATACTGCACGTCATTGACGATCTGAGTGTGGTGAGTATACTTGCGAGCCGGCTTCAGAGTGCGGCCACCCTCCTGCAGCGTCTTGATGTCCCTGATCTCGTCAGCTGGGTCGTTTGTATTTGGAATGCGAGCGGAAACCTTACCAGAGGCAGACGGTAGTGTCCTCGCTACCAGAAGCCAAGCAGCCAGCCTCATGTGGATTCCAGCTAAGGCCGTATCCCTCCTGCTTGTGACCCACGAGCTCGACCTCAGGGCTGACCTTTCCATCAGCCGTCATGCTGTGCTTCGTGCGGTCAAAAACGAGGATCTTGCCGTCAACACAGAGTGTGGCAATGAGATCTGGATTTTGAGGTTGGTATCGCGCCTTGTTCACCTCGCCAGGGTGGTCGATCTTTTGCACAATGTTGAAACGAATGGGCGCCAAACCGCCAAACTTTCCATAGCCACCAATCTCCCCCCGCTCTTCGTCGAGGTCGTCGGTGCTCGGCTCGATGGATTTGGGGACTTCAACTTCGGCGATTTGCAGGTGGTTTGGCATGCCCTCAGAAGTGTGAGTACCAAGAAGCAATCGGTGAACACGGTAGTTCTTGCCCTCTGGCTCCTTCACGTCGGGAAACCACTGAGTCGTTAGGGTTGGCCACTCGAGAGCAGTACTGCCAAGTGTCAGTCATTGCGATAGCTCTGCAGCTTGTATTCGTACCTGAGAATCATATCATAGAGGAAGGGGCTGTTCTTCTTCCAGGTCTTGTACTCTATGTGCATACCATGGTTAGTTGGAGGCCAAAACGCGCAGTGACGAGAGGGCTGCCTACCCTCGTTGATGAGGCGCTGCTCCATATTCTCATCATCCTCCTGATGCATGTCGACTACTGTAAGTTAGCGATCCTGTTTTCCCAAGTCCGCAAGTACTCTTGTAGTGTGTTCCGCTCACCGTCAACATCGTCGACCACCTGCGCGGGTGCCATCTTTTTGTGTAAATCTGGTGAGATTGTGATCGCAGGATGAATAGAGCTCGGTAGATTCCAACGCGATCGGTGTAATAGTGCGGAGGGGTCGAGTATGTGGGATGAGTTGGATGAAGTGGGAGGAGGTTCGTTGCCAGGTGGAAAGACCTCTCACAGCCGTGCCGCAATTGTCAGAGTGGAGGAAGACGCGACGCGAATCGCGTAAAGTGTTTAAGGGCAGCTATTTGAGATGAGCCTTATCAGAAAGCTTATCTGGCGCACAATCAGCCGCACTTGTTCCATCACGCGCGCTTGGAGCGGCAGCTTCGCCCTGGACCCACCGAATTTGCCCCTCCCCCAGCAACTCATGACACCGGTGACTCCCTGGACCTCGCCGCAAGCAGCAGGTACCCTCCTGGCGCCTGAAGCTCCCGACCTGTCCTGCATCCTACATACTCGCCCCTCACGTACCGCGCAACTTATCATCAGACGAGAACACAACTCGACGGTCGAGTTCCCTGTTCATCGGAAGAAGCCTAGAGTTTCTTTTGTGTTGTATCTTACTCACGGCTGTATTGACTTCTTACGTTCAAATTTCCTTTCCCTCCAACCGTCGCAGACACAACGATTTCGGTTTTGCGCCAGCATCCAAATCACTTCCAAAGCTGCGCCAGGCTGTCAACCCGACTTTTTTCCTCTTCTGCAATTTCGCAGAGTCATCGCGCTTCCGTGTAGCATCTAGCACAGCTTCCAGCTCTTTCCTCGGTCTACATTCACCATGGGGTACGCTGCCGCGCCACCACGCCGATGCATCGCAAATGTCACTCGAGCTGACCATTTATCTGCAGTGTCCCCAAGTTCTTCAGGTGGCTCTCTGAGCGCTATCCTGCCATCTCGCAGGTCATTGCCGAGAATCGCATCCCCGAATTCGACGCCCTCTATGTTCGTCTCCCGACGTGCCCCGCATCGCCATGACTTCCGAGACTGATGTTGGTGGACAGCTGGACATGAATGGAATCATTCACAATTGTACGCATAAGGATGCCGGAGAGGATGCGACATTCCGTCTGAGTGAGGAGGAGATGTTCATCCGCATCTTCAACTACATTGAGCATCTTTTCGGCAAGATCAAGCCGAAGAAGCTTTTCTACATGGCCATCGACGGTGTCGCCCCGCGCGCCAAGATGAACCAGCAGCGATCTCGTCGATTCCGGACGGCTCTTGATGCCGAGAACGCGAGAGAGAAGGCCATCAAAGATGGTGTGGAAATGCCCAAGGAGGCTCCTTTCGACAGCAATTGCATCACCCCAGGTCCGTGTTGCGCCCAACACAACCCCAAGTCCAGACCACGAACTAACAATCCCCAGGCACTGAGTTTATGGCCAAGCTCTCCCGTCAACTGAAGTACTTTGTCAACAAAAAGGTGACTGAGGATGCTGATTGGCAGGAGTGCGAAATTGTTCTCTCTGGGCACGAGGTTCCCGGCGAGGGCGAGCACAAAATCATGGAGTACATCAGGAACGCCAAGGCTCAGCCTGATTACGATACGAACGTCCGACACTGTCTCTACGGCCTGGATGCTGACCTTATCATGCTTGGTCTGCTCAGTCACGACCCCCACTTCTGCCTTCTTCGTGAAGAGGTCACCTTCGGTCGTGCGTCCAAGACCAAATCGAAGGAGCTGGAGCATCAGAACTTTTATCTTCTGCATCTCTGTATCGTCCGTGAGTACCTGGATCTAGAGTTCCAGGAGCTCAAGCAAGATGGGATTTTGAACTTTCCATATGATCTTGAGCGGGTCATCGACGACTTCATCCTCATGGGTTTCTTCATTGGCAACGATTTCCTTCCCCATCTCCCCCGCCTTCATATCAACGAGGGCGCGCTTGCATCTATGTTTAGGATATATAAGAGCATCCTGCCCGAGTGTGATGGATACATCAACGAAGGCGGCGTCATCAACCTCCAACGCCTGCAGCGCCTGTTGACTGAGCTAGCCAAGGATGAGACCGACCAGTTCGAACACGACGTCTCTGATGAGCGATGGTTTCAATCGAAGCAAATCAGCGAGCAGCAGCAGAAGAATGCTGTGCAGTCCAAGCAGAGAGGCAAGGGTGTCGTCATGACCTCCGCGCAGAAGGACCTTTGGAAGAACAACATCAAGCCGTACCTCACCAAACCTACCCCTGAACCCCTCGATCTAGGCACAGAGCTCAACGCTGCCGACCGCAAGTTTGTGCAGGATCTTGCCGACGCTGTCCACGTGGACTGGAGCACCAAGGAAGACGACGATGGCCACCGCCATCTGATTCTCACGTCTCCTCAAAGCGAGGATAACAACGACGAGGAGGAGGAGGGCACCCTGGCCTTGTTCCGTGTCATGAAGAATTACGACAAGGCAACTGTAGTTGACATCACTGCAGATGACGCCAAGCAGCACTATGCGGACCTTTACAAGCAGAAGTACCAAGGCTGGAAGACCAAGTACTACCTGCAGAAGTTTGAGGATTGGTCGCCGGATAACTACGACAAGGAGCTCACTGCTCTCTGCGAGAACTATGTGCAGGGCCTGCAGTGGGTGTTGTACTACTACTACAGAGGAATTGCCTCATGGCCTTGGTTCTATGCCTACCACTACTCTCCCTTGACATCAGGTTAGTTTCACTGTCGAATGATGTGGGCTTGCCGCTAACATAATCTAGACGTCATCAAGGGTCTGGGTGCTGATCTGAACTTCAAGCTTGGCCAACCTTTCCGTCCGTACGAACAGCTTATGGGTGTCCTCCCTGACCGAAGTAAATCGATCGTCCCCACCGTGTACTGGGATCTCATGACGAACCCCAAGTCGCCCATCGTTGACTTTTATCCGCGAGACTTCGAACTTGACATGAACGGCAAGAAGATGGAATGGGAGGCAGTTGTCAAAATCCCCTTCATCGATGAGAAGCGACTTCTTGACGCAATGGGCCCGGTCAACGAGAAGTTGAGTGACGACGAAAAGTCACGAAACCAATTCGGTGTTTCTCTGAAGTTCACTTACAACCCTGAGGTCAACTTCACCTACCCGTCCTCCATGGTTGGCGTCTTTCCAGACATTCCTCAGTGCCGGTGTGTCGAGAACATTTTTGAGCTGCCAAGCACCGAAGGCCTGCAGTATCGTTCTGGCCTGATGGACGGTGTCAAGATCAGTGCCGAGGCTCTGGCTGGTTTCCCTTCCATTCATACGCTTCCCTACACCGGCCAACTCATGGAGGGATACGGGGTCAACGTTTTCCAACAGGACAGCCGTAACCCTAGCATGATCGTCACTCTCAGCGAGTCGGAGATCACGACAAAGGCTGAGGTGGCCAAGAAGAAGCTGGGTCAGAAGTGCTTCGTCGGGTATCCTTTCCTCCAGGAAGCAAAGATTGTCCGTGTTGTGGATGAGCTATTTGACTACGAACTCGACCACACGGGTACGACTGTTGTCCAGAAGAACCATGGTCCCCGGGAGATTGAAGCCTTCTCGAGAGAAGCTCAGTACATCGAGAACTGGCATGCCAAGCGGTTGGGATTCACCATTGGTGAGGTTGAATCGCTGGTGCATGTGCACATGCTCAAGGGTCTCATCAAGACGGAGGAAGGCGCACTCATCAAGGAGTACGCAGAGAACCCAAGCATGAGGAGCGTCTATGCATCACAGACTATTGTCGACGAGGTCATCAGTCAGGATGAGCGCTTCATCGAGAGGGCGTCAGTCCCCATCGAAGAAGAGTACCCCGCGGGTACGCGTGCGTTCTTCTTGGGAGAATTCCACTACGGCCGCCCCCTGGAAGTGCTCGGTCACGCGAACAACAAGGCGGAGATTGTGGTTTCGGTGCTTCAGGCGAAGGAGCCTGAATACGCAAAGCCTATCATCCAGGAGGTCAACCGTCAGAACCGCTTCACACCCTCCTATGCTGTGGCCAAGATGCTGGGACTCCATCCTTTGATCCTTAGCAAGATTCTGTCTTCGTACCAAGTCAACACGGTGGGCGGCCTTAGGGTCAACCTTGGTCTCAACCTCAAGTTCGACGCTAAGAAGCAGAAAGTCCTTGGATACTCTCAAAAGAACCAGTCTGGTTGGGAGTTCAGCAACGCCGCGATCGAGCTTCTTGCCAAGTACGTCGCAGCGTTCCCAGACTTCTTCGTTGCCATCCAGGCCAAGGCTCAGCAGAGCGACATCAGCGACACTGATATCTGGCCCGACTCGGCCGTGGCTGCTAAGCGCGTCAAGGAGATTGGTCAATGGCTCAAGGCGGCAGAGACAAGCAAGTTTGAAAGGGTTCCTCTTGATGCCGAACAGCTTGACTCTGTGACAGTTATGAAATTGGCTGAGGCCGGCGAGCAAGCTTTCCAGATCTCGCAGAACACCACGACTAAGAAGCTCAACAACGTTCCGCGGTCGGCGCTTCTGAAGCCTACGGATGCCGAACTGCTCATGGGCAACCAGAAGTTCAACCTTGGCGACCGTGTCACATATGTTGCCGCAACCGGCAAGGTTCCCATTGCAAGCCGCGGTACCGTGGTTGGCATTGGACGCACTGCCACTGCTGTTCTGCTTGATGTCGTTTGGGACGTGACCTTCATGAGCGGTACGACACTGGGTGAACGCGCTCCTCCCTTCCGGGGCATGACGGTGGCATCTTCATCCGTTCTCAACACAACGCACAAACAGGTCATTTCGGGCTCCAAGGCCGCCACTCAGCGACGCCCTGCGCCTGCGACCACATCGCTGACGACGGGCTCTTACAACCCTAACGGCACTCCACAGTACAGGGACGCGTCAGCGCCGGCGCCTCTCAGGGGGAGCTATCGCGGTGCGATGAACGGGCAGTCTCATGGCCAGTCCCGGGGTGGCGGCAGGGGTCAAAACGGAGCAAATGGCAGCGGGGGCGGCAATGTTCCCAACTTGCTCCACAGCACATTGGTCTATCGGCCTCATCCCAACGGCAACCAGGGAGGAGATGGCCAGGCTTCTCGTGGCCGCGGCCGCGGTCGGGGACGCGGCGGACCTGTCGCCAATGGCAGACCTGCGCCACAGTCCTCGCCTCAGCCGCAGCAGCAGATGTACGGCAATGTGCCTCCTCCTGCGTCTCTTGATGCGCGTGGAAGGGGCCGCGGACGTGGCGGACGCGGTCGAGGAGGCGCTCGTGGCGGTGCTCGTGGTGGAGCGACCCCCCCTGCCCCCTCTCAGAACTAGCAGTCTGGAGGGCTGCGAATAGACCTGCGAAGCTGCTGATGGGAGGCTGCTGTTGATTTCTTCCATGTTGGCTCGGTTCTCTGGGTGGTATATTCTGCACGGCTTTCGGGCTTGGCGTTCGGAGGTTGAGGAGGCAGCAGAAACGTGTCGACGAATGTGTCAGAAGGAAAGTGATTCCATTCGTAGCATATATACGGCGCTAAGCGGTATGACGATGTGGCGATACAATGAGCTAGCCGGCGAGAGGAGGCGGAGCAAATGAATTCGGTTTTTTTTTTTTAAAGAAAGTACATCACTGGGACGGCCTGTTCGTATGTACGTCATGTGTGGAAAAGCTTCAATAATGCACTACTGTTCTTGTCAAGGATACGCTACGCAACAGTCTATTTCGCCTTGGTCTTCGCCTTGATGGCCGGCAGCCTGAAGAACTTGCTCGTGCCCCCGCGCAGGGCCTTCCAGACGCCGAGGTCGGCGTCCTGGTTCCACGTCAGCAGGCCGACCCAGGGCTGGACGTTGTAGTGCAGCCGCAGCTGGACGTTGTCGGCCTCGGCGAGCTTGCCCGAGGGGTGCGTGATCTGGTACTTGGGCTTCTGGTTCTTGAGCTTGAGCCTGCCGCGGCCGGGGTCGATGCTCTTGCCGGCGGCGCTGGCGCGGAGCTTGCGCATGGAGACGGGGCCGAGGTTGGCGAGGTGGTCGGCGCTCGGTGACGTGATGATCTGGTCCCAGATGACGGCCTCGTTCGTGGCGTTGGCGCCGCCCGTCGCCGAGGGCCATTCTGCCGTCACGTAGACGAAGACTTGCTTGCTGTGGCCACTTGTTAGCTTTCTCCTTCTTTCCTTCTCCTCCCCTCGTTCTTCTTGTTCTTTGTAGTCTCACTGCCCTCGAAAGGCGCAGGAAACCGCTGGCAGGGTAAGGGGTTCAGAGGGTGACGCACGTGTTCCAGGTGAAAAGGTCGGAGAGGTCAGCCTCTAGGGAGAACTTGATGATGGCGTACTCCTCCTTCTTGCTGCTGTAGTAGTGCGGGCGGCCCTTGACGACCTGGAGCGAGTCGGTCTTGATGACGCCGGCGGTGGGGGCGCGCGGGGTGACGACATCGGACAGGGCGATAAAGGAAGCAACGACGAAGGCGACCGTTGTGAAGAAGCCAAAGGTGTTCTGGATGCGGTTGAGAGAGTTGAACATGGTGGGCGGTGGGTTGGGGCAGCGGAAGGTTGCCGCCGGTTGGACTAGATGCAGTGATTTTCCTCAACAAGTTTGAGACGGGAGGGAAAGGCGCGAGTTCTACCTGTCCACAATCTTGCACGAGTCCCAGGGTCGGGCCAGCGTGGTGTGAAATATTGGGTTCGGCGGCAGCTCCCCTCTACGTGTAAGGTCAGATCGAGGAGTTGTCGCGACGTGTGGTTTCAGACACAAAGGGACTAGTGCAATGGAGCTTGATGATGTTTAGGTAATCACTCACCTTACCCACCGCTCGGCATCGTCTGGCGGCGACCACAAGGCCCACGCCCACGGCCCAAGTGCTGTTCAGAGATTATTTTTAGTCCGCTTGGTCAATTTGCCCGAAGGAGCTTGACGGAAGGGAGAGAGACGATAGGCCCCAAATCACTTCGCCAAGCTTGATTCACTCGCATCACAGCTCGATGAAGCATGGTCTTGATGATGTCTGATTCGACTTTTGTCACAATATACAGAGGTATATAAGCATGTCGGCAAGACAATGTGAAGCCTCCTTGCCGTGGTGAACATCAACATTTCACCCGCAAGCTCACGGCCATTTCCGACGCCCCTTCGCAAGTCGCCATGGCATGGTCCCGTCGCGCGTCCGCGGGCCATCTTCTCCCCTCGACGCGGGAGGAATATCGGTGCATGGCACACCCCAGACGCTCATCCTCGAGAGTAACCTAGAGCGTGCATCTCTTCCGAAAATGCAAATGCAACAGAGTGCTGCCTCAAGTCCGCCTCCCTCTACCAGCTCTACCAGCCGAGCTTGCAATCCGTAACGCCTTGCCGTGTGCATGCAATATTAGTACTTCGCCAAAATCATGATTCGAAAAATGAACCTGTGAACCACTCCTCTCCTTCTCTCTGTCGGAGAGATGGCCTGGGTTGAACTGAGCGTCGTCATGTCTCCTCTGAGTGGATGTGCACGCCGTGCGAGTCGCTAGCACACTCAGCGCTTCGAGATGCCCTTGGCCTTCTCTGACGCCTTGGACCGCTAGGCCTTGTGCGCAGCACCGGCAGAGGCGTGATCCACAGGCTGCGGCGGTTTACCCTCCACATGCAGTCGTTTAGCATCACCGCGCTGGTCATGCGTCTCATTCTCACGCTTGCAATCTTTCTCCTTCTGTCGGTGGTCTCGACTGTCTTTGCTGCGTGCTGCGTGCCGGGCCTCTCTCTCTTTCCGCTCATTTTCCTTGCGGAGTGCTTTCGACTCAAGCTCGTGCCAGTCACCATCCAAGTTTGCGAGCCTGTCAAGTGTGTTAGAATGAGCATTGCGGACGTTGGTGGTTATCTTAAAAACTTACTCGATGGCTTGACGCGCAGGCGGTTCCTCGGTCGTAAAGTATGCATGCTGAAGAGCTTCGGCTGCGCTCGGGCGCTTGGCTGGGTCATATTTGAAGATGGACCAGATCAAGTCGTAGGCGGCGGGCGTGAGCTTGTCCCTGTACTTGGCGGCAAAAGAACTGGCCCGCCGATAACCTGGCCGCAAGAGTTCGAACCAGGGCATGTCGATAAGACCGGGCCATTCAGCCTTGTTAGGGGTTCCCATGACATTGTAAATCTTGTCGAGTTGACTGATCTCGCCACCGTCGCCAGGAAACGTGGCGTGGCGCGTGAAGATTTCCATCAGGATGCAAGCCGTGCTCCACATGTCGCAGGCTGGGCCGTATCGCGTTTCTCCCAAGAGAAGCTCAGGAGACCGATACCATATCGTGATGACACGGTTTGTGTAGTCGAGCTGATGGCGTTTGGCGTAGAAGCGTGCTAGACCAAAGTCGGCAAGCTTGAGGATTCCGTCGCTGCTGACCAGAATGTTGGCAGCTTTGAGATCTCTGTGCAAAACGCCGCGAACATGGAGATAGTCGAGGCCTTCGAAAACCTGCCTAGCAAGGTGCTTCTTCTGTGCAGCATCAAGCTTGAAGGAAGGATGATTGAGCAAGCCTGTCAAGTCGTGAGAAAGATACTCGAAGACCATGAAACAGTCATTCTTCTCCACCATGACCTCCTTGAGCTCGACAACGTTGGGGTGTCGAAGCGACTGGAGAAGTTTAATCTCGCGGACAGCCGTCACAGGGAACCCGTCCTTTTCGCCCTCCATCCGAATCTTCTTCAGTGCAACCAGATCCTTGGTGTAGCAGTGTAGACCTTTGAACACCTTGCCATAGGTACCAGAACCAACAACCGACTCGTTGCCAGGCTTTCGAAAGTAGACTGATTCGGACTTGACGAGATCTGGTGGTAAGCTCAGCCGCGGCTTGAGACGCTTCATCTTTTGCTTCACAATCCGAGTTTTGGGGGCGGGAGGCGGTGGTGCCGCCTTCGGACCCGGAGGTGGTGGTTGTTGATGATGCCTTGCGTCTTGCCTTCCTCTAGCCGATGCCGGCTCTGTTGGTGCGCCGCGTGGTATGTCTCGCTCACGATTGTCTCGTTCGCGGTAGTCCCTCTCGCGACGATCGCGTTCCCGGTACTCGCGATCACGACGGTCTCTTTCGCGATCACGTTCGCGATCGCGGTCACGCTCTCGGTCTCGCTCCCGGTCTCGCTCCCGGTCCTCTCGAGCTCTGTGCTCCCGTTCCCGTTCCCGATCGCGGTCATTAGGATCTCTCTCGTCCGTTTGCTGAGTCGGCTCTTTCTTTGGAGGCAAAGCATTGAATTTCTGAGATATCTCTGGTTTCGGTACCGCCGGAGTGGGTTTTGCAGATGCCTTAAATGCAAAACTGAACTTTGACGACACCGATGACGCCGGAGATTGTGCTGCTGGACCAGACGGAGGAGGCCGCGTGGGAGGGGCCATTTCCTTGTCATCTGAAATCACCGGGGGCGACGTGTCTTCGACCTGGAGGTCTTTGGACGGACGGAAGGAATTTGGTTGCTCTTCGAAATCGTCCTTGTCCGACTTGACGCTTGCGACGGCGGAATTGGATGACTTCTGTGACTTGGCATCGTCGCCTTGCACAGACGAACCTCGACCTCCAATCGTCGTTTGTGAAGCGTTCCATTGCGCGCTCTTGAAATTATTCCCGCGGTAGCCTCCACGAGCACCACTGAATTGATTGCCTCGGAAGCCTGAACCGCCTCCGCGGAAGCTGTTGCCTCTGCCATATTGCTGCATCGGGCCTGTTGGGGCAGATGGGGGAGGGGAATATGGGTTCGAGGGTGGATATTGTCCTTGGGGCCCGTTTTGCGGCGGATACATGCCCTGAGGTCCCTGGGCATACTGAGGGGGATACTGACTATTTGAATAGGTTAGCGAACATTACGGTACATTGATTAATCTGCAACCGCTTCTAAAAGAGACATACTGATGGGGAGAGCCACCCCAGCCGCCCATGTCGTAGGGAGACATGTTGGGTGAGTTGATGTAGGGGTTCGGAGGGAAGTGAGGGGGAGGGTGATAGTACTGATAGGGGTCACTGTACCCGTGATTGCCAGCAAAAGCGTTGTGTGCCTGGTGGCGAGCATTGAAGCCCCCACGGTGGCTGCCACGTCCCGACATATCGTCTTCCTTCCCGCTTGTGCCTGGCGAGCTCTGTCGCCCAGATCGACCTTCGTCGCCTCTCCTTGCTCTGGGTCCCGATCCCCTGCTAGTGGATCGTGATGCACGACGAGATCGATTTTGGCGAATGTGGTCGGACTCGTGGTGCGAGCCGTGCCTAGAACCAGCCCGCGGCGAGGAGGGCGACCTTGGGGGTCGATGAGATGGGGGTGATCGTGCCCTTGGGGACCTTTGACGGCGATCTACCGGCGAGCGGGAACGCCGCCGTGACCGCGAGTGACCGCGAGATGCGTGATGAGGCTCCCCTCGGGCCGGGGACCGCGAACGACTGCGGCGTCCGTTCCGCGCGCTGTTTTGAGCCCTGGGGCGATTATTTTCGCGGGAGGGCGATGGAGAACGTCGGGAGACTGGTGTCGAGGCGTTGCGTGGCTCCCTGGGTGGTAACAGATCTCCCCTCCGGTCTTTTGAATCTTGTCGACGGATGTCGTCTCGATGAATTGGTTTGCCGTCTCGGGCCGTAGCGAGAGGACTCCGGCTTCTTGTACGTTTCGCTGACAGGGATGGTAATCGACGGCCGTCGGGACGTCGTCGAGGGCTCGGGCTGCGTGGTCGGCGAGTGTCGCCCCTCGGCTCGTCTCTACCCCCACGGCGCGTATCGATGAGGTCTCGGGGCCGTGAAGCGTGGTAGGGATTGTCTTCGCGGTCGTCACGACGACTGGATGATGGCGAGTGGCGGCGAGCCCGGTCTCTGCTGCGATCGCGTTGTTTGTCGGAGGGGGAAGGAGTCGGCCTCTCAGAAGACGGGCGCTTGGGATGCGGGTCTCGTGGACGTCTATCAGGATTTCGGTCGCTATCGTGGGGCCGACGAGGAGGAGGCGATGCAGATCTGCGAGAGCCTGCCGCGGCTTGACCTGGTCTGCCACGATCTCTGCGCTCCTGGACGTGTCTCCGGTCGTCTCTCATTGCAACATGTCGGGAACGACGAGGATGACCAGAGGAAGGCTCCATCGCGGCAATCCAACTGAGTTCGAGTTTTCTGAGAGGATCCTCATCCGGTGTTTTCCCGACTCCAGACGCGATAAGCGCGCTTGGTAGATAAACGCGGTGTGCCTGTGGAGAGACAGCTCGCACAGGTCCGTGCGTCCAATGTGGCAGTGAGGAGGTAGAGGGGGAGGGTAGGTGTTGTGGGTGGAAGTCGAGGTAACGCAAAGAAAAGATGGCTGAGAACCAAGAACATCTTGGTCACGGGACTGGCGTGAACTTTCCCTCCAAACTGGAATGGATAAGGCACACGAAGCCGTCCCGAGCATTCAGCATATTGTCAACTTCTGGCAACTGAAGAGAAATTCTCTCCCAGGCCAGATTGGCGAGCATGCGGTGCACTCGCATACCACTTTCAAGGCTGTCCACCGCATCAGGTGTTCAGCGAATCCCAACTGTCCTCCTCGGGGGACCATTGTGCCCAGCCACTTCAGGTCTATCTATGTGGTTGCCAAATGCACAGCTCCATCCATGCCGTGTCTGATCAAGCCTATGAATTGCTCCTCACCGTCTGCTCCCTCTTCTTACGACTGCTTCGATCTGCAGGGGTCTAGGTAGCAGGATCATGGGTGCTTCATCAACATCGACCTCCCTGCACCTGCAGCAACGCCGAGAACGAAGCAGGAGAGCACCCACCTCAAGACACTTAGTTGTAGCCAGTCTCTCTTGAGTGCCTGTCGATTCGACAAGATGCATTTTGCATCGGAAGTCGGTCCAGGTCCAAAACACCACCCGGTCCCGATCGTGCTGAGACTGGCGAAACACTCGGTTTGGCAGCGTCGTTGTGTTACACCTGCCCAATCCCCATTTTTTGAGAATCAGTATCAGTAATGATGCCGACAACCTAGGCAAACTGCAGGGTTTGGAAACGACGCGTGCCCGTTGCTTCGCACACATCCACAGTAACCGGACGGGGACTTAGGCCGCGTCTCCGATCGGGAACATCGTGTGGGCATGGATTGGGTGGACTTTCGACCGCACCGTCGCTGAATTTCAATCTGCAAGCGGACCAAGCGAAAGGCACCTGGCCATCGTTTGGAGGCAATATCAGATGGTCCAACCTGACATTCGACGTTGATCAGAATCGAAGTAGAAGCTCAACCAGTAGCATGCACGACAAGCGTTGTCATCGTTGTCATGGCGCAGAATTTCGTCAGCGCGAGCGCCCACAACTGCTGGGTGCTCCCCTCCGTGATCATGTTTATCCTCCGCTCCCAAGCGCCCGAATACAGACGCGCCGCGACGTCGCGCATCGGGGAAGACGCCCAAAACGATGCTTTCTCAAGCAGGTCAGGTTTTGGTAGTTTGACAGACGATATCGTACAGCTCCATGTGCGATGATGTTGCGGAGTGGCGGTGAAGTCATCGAGAGGGGCTGCTGCACGAAGCACTGTGTCACCGCCGCGATATTGTAAAGCTTTGATGTTGCGCCACCGATCTGGTATTGTCAAGTATAGGGTAGGCCAAGGATAATACGATGGTCGGAGTTGTAACTGGAAGAGTTACTGGAGTGGTTTGGATCATTTGCCATGCCAGTAAATTCGGACCTTGCCGTCAGTACAGCTCAACAGGCCGCCAGCGCAAATAAGAAGGTGTTTTCAGCATCGCGATGAATGAGTTATTGCAAATGCCGATGGCAGAGGCGCAAGGGGTGTTGGTAGTCAGCGTCAGGCGGGATCGGGGTTGTTGATGTAGAAGAAGTTGCTGGACGGCCACTGACGAAAACCTTGATCAGCAGGACTAGAACTGGGCGCTGGGGCTTGGAAATGTCATGTGACCATCCAAGCGCTGGGGCTGAGGGACTTCCGCAAGCAATGGTCTATGCAGCTATTCTTGTTCAGGGGTAGTCCAACCGGAGGAAATCGTATATAGGAAAGGTATGCGCCTAACCGGCTTTTGCTTTGCTCTTTGCGGTGCAACGCTATTGCAGTGGAGCGAATTACCCAATCCTCAGAAACGCCTCACACGCTGTCTGACAAGTTGCTGTGTCCGCTCACCCTGACTCATATCACCCTTACCATCAAGCGACGGATCATCTGCGGGACCGTCCGCGAAAGGCTACATTTATGTGCAACTGCTTTTCCTTAGACCGAAAAGCTAGCTTGCTGTTGATGGGGATAGGTGTCTATGAGGAAGCATTGTGGTGGAGCGGGTAGAACATAGGCGTTTCCGGGGGTCGCCATCCGAGGATAAGCTGTCGGAACCACAATCTTCTCAAATTTGATTGTGCTGGAGAGCCTTGCTTCGAAAGCCGTGTTCGCCAGCCCGGGACGACACTCATTACCCTTGAATAGTTCAGCGGCAGGGAGCCGCTCAGGAATTCCGAATACACGCCCGTCATGTTGGAGTCACTCTGCAGCTAGCCAGCAGCTCTTGGCAACTCGTCGCACCTGCATTCCCTTACGGTGACCTGCGAGCGATATGGACAGCCAAAACTTCAGAAAATCAAGTAGGAATGAGGCAGAGCGCCTTCAGCATAGAAGGTTCTGGGAGAGGATAGCTCCATATGATCATTGTCGATGTCACATTAGCTAAAGCGAGAAGTGCAGATTGCACGCGACAGCATCCACACGATCGATGGTGAATAAGCTCCCAAGTGAAACCTCCTCACTCAAAGCCTGAAATGCGGCTGCCATGGTATACGCCCACTAATTTCATGGCCAACTCATCTTTTAAATCTACATTCTTCCTATTGTTAAGACACACGATGATGACTCTCCATTGCTGGGTTGTGATGTAGGCAATGTCTTATACCGTCCCAGCCTCGATTTGGTGATTTCGATAGGCATTCATTGCCCTAGCCAATGAGGCGCCCCAATGGAATTGCGAGGCCAGGCAGGGTCCACGACAGATGACGTTGTGCGTGCAGATGCGTGAGCAATCCCTGTAAGCTAGGTCGTTGGACTTGTCGGCCGTTGAAGTAATCTTGTCAGTCTCCGTCGATAGGCAACTCCAATGGCAGCTTTTCTCTACGATCTGGGATGCGTGCATGGTCTTGTATTTCCTCAAGTGATCAGGGTGTCATGGGAGTTGGTCATTGCAGCATGGGGGGCCCGGAATGTAGTGCCGGCCTGAGCGAGGCGTGGCTTGAGCTGCGATTCAGGCATTCCTTATGATCCCACCACCGCGCATTCATCCCTACTGAAAGTCTTACCTGCCAAACTGTCGGATCGCAGCACGAGCGAGGCCGTCAGAAGACCAAGACATGAAAAAAAGAAAAAGAAAGAAAAAGCCAGCAAGGCATTCCAGATGCACCCTTCTCGAGCTCACGCCAGACAAAACTCCCTGCCAGCAAGGTTTCGCATTGGTCACGTCGACATGCCACGTTCTGGTGTAGCAAAACGTGTTTTTCTTCCTTTCTTCGCCTCCGTCCGAACCTTGGGGCGTCGACCAGTAAGGTAGGACCAGAGACCCTTCTTGCGTTGGGCAGGTTGGAGACCCCGGAGTGCCCCCCCAGGTTGGTGGTCTGGTGACACAGGCTTGATTGGTCGCCATCAGGAGCCGTCCGAATGCTCGCTGCAAACCTCGTCACGTTCGCTGTTGCTGGGAGGTTTTTAGCTCAGCCAACCCCGCATTCATTGTCGTCATACTGTCTAATGGGCAACCAGGCAGCCCACTGCGAATGGCGGAGCACAGGGCACCCTCGCGCACACTCGCACGCACCCAAGCGAGGGTGGACTGTGCTGAAGCTCCTCCCGCGCGAAGGCTGGCGGGCCCCCCACTGGCCTGGAGATTGCCCATTCCACGGCTCGTAGGGACCGTTCAGCTACCTGGCAAGCCTGGGCACCTACCTAGGGAGGTTGGTAGGCAGGCCTGGAGATTTCCCATCGAGATTTTTTCTTTGCGCCATGTCCCGATGTCCGTGTCTCCGGAATCCCACCCTCGAAGGAAAATCAAGATTGCAGGAGCCACGGGAAGAGACGCCGGCGCTGCTATTCTCGGCGTCGCATGGGAAAGGAAAAGGGCAAGAAAAAGATTTTCATCCCAATATTGAGGGAATTGCCAGTTCCTCAACCCTTTCACTCAATGCGACGAGGTGTTGCCGCGGGATTATTCGGCGTTGGTTGCGCCCAAAGTGGCGGATGTAGACGCATCTCGCCCCGACAGGACGATGAAGAAGCTCGTTGGGGCAGTGATGGTCAACACGAGGGCCCCTCGGACCCAGCGAGAGAGAGAGAAAAAAAAAAGGCTTGACGACCTCGACAGGCTCGACAAGCTGGAGGCCCAGACTTGTATCGACCAAGAGTCGGCCGGCTGGAGTGGATTCCCGCCATGAATGTAGTTGCTCAGCGCCCAAAAGCCCCGGCCTGAAATGGCTCTCGACCCCTGTAGGATACCCACCATGATTGTTCCACGCTTAGTGCAGCCGGACAGCTTGCCCCCCCCCCCCCCCTCCCCTTGGCCTTCAAGGGCCCCCCGGGTCGATGCCATTGGATCGGGAGGATCGAGAGAATTGGGTCGGCCAGGAGCAGATAGTCAGACAATGGAGGTGGGCAGCAGCACCGACGTAACTGTGGTGGCAGGCATACTCGCACCACACCACCACAGTCGCTCACTACCTAGGTACCTTACTACTTGCTACCTGACGCCGTTGCTGCCACAACACCTTCTCGTCCAGCTACATGCACCAGGTGCTCCCGACGGATCCTCCGCTCACTTCTCTCTCACCACCTTACCTTACCCTCCGACTGATTCTGTCTGACATTGGCTGCTCCGCGGACATCGTCCCCATCACCCTAAAACCTGCCCTCTCCCTCCCCCGCAACCCGCCTTCCTCAGCTGGCTTTCCACCTCTTCCCACCTTGTTTGTGTCCTCCTACAATCGCACTCGAACCTGCTACCTCCCCTCGCCACGGCCGCTACTGAAGCATCACGGGAGCTTCACGTAGCTCTAGCTCTCAGGAAACGTCCTGAGCCACCTCGTCACAGGTACGTCGCTCGGCGTGGCCTGACATGCCATCAGACAACCGAACGCTCCCCTCTTGAATCCTCCTCCTCCTCCTCCACCTAGCCATCGCGCCCCAATGCCTCTCCCCGTCCATTGGCCTCCCTCCATGACACCAATTCAAAATGCCGTCGCGCCTCAGCTGCCCGGTGTCACAGCAACTGACTGTCCGTCCATTTCTGTAGCATCCCATACCACAGCGCGCAGACAGGTAGCCATGTCGCAAGACGAACGTTCCGCCCGTGAGGTGAAGGATCATCTCCTCTTCGAAATCGCAACGGAAGTTGCCCACCGAGGTGAGTCTCCGAGCTCTCCAGCAGTACGAGTAGCCTTGCTGTCGAGCTGCTGCTGACATTCTTCCCGTAGTTGGCGGCATCTACTCTGTGATCAAGTCAAAGGCCCCCGTCACGACAGCCGAGTATGGCGAGCGCTACACCCTGATCGGTCCGCTGAACCACCAATCGGTATGGTGCTTCGACTAGGAGCTCTCTGTTCCAGCTGCTGACAAGCGTAGGCCGCCGTCGAAGTGGAGGAGCTCGAGCCCACCGTTCCTGAGCTTGCTGCCACGATCAACTCCATGAAGGAGCGCGGTATCGGCATTCTCTATGGTCGCTGGCTGATTGAGGGCGCACCCCGAGTGCTCCTGTTCGACACCAAGACTGCTTACAAGTTCCTCGATGAGTGGAAGACGGACCTCTGGAACGTCGCCAGCATTCCCTCCCCGCCCAATGACGACGAGACGAATGAGGCCATCGTTTTTGGATACCTGGTTGCATGGTTCCTCGGAGAGGTGGGTGCAAGCGTCATCAACTACCCCCCGTTGTTGTGCTAATCGTTTGTTCAGTTTGTCTGCCACGAGAAGAAGAAGGCCGTCATTGCGCACTTCCACGAGTGGCTGGCCGGTGTCGCATTGCCCTTGTGCAAGAAGCGCCGCATTGATGTGACCACCATCTTCACCACCCACGCCACGCTGCTCGGTCGTTACCTCTGTGCTGGCTCGGTCGACTTTTACAACAACCTGCAGTGGTTCGATGTGGACGCCGAGGCTGGCAAGCGCGGTATCTACCACAGGTACTGCATCGAGCGAGCTGCTGCCCACGCCTGCGATGTATTCACGACCGTGTCCCACATTACAGCGTACGAGAGCGAGCACCTGCTCAAGCGCAAGCCCGACGGCGTTCTGCCCAACGGCCTCAACGTCACCAAGTTCTCAGCTGTTCACGAGTTCCAGAACTTGCATCAGCAGGCGAAGGAGAAGATTCACGAATTCGTGCGAGGCCATTTCTACGGCCACTACGATTTCGACCCGGAGAACACGCTGTACTTCTTCACGGCCGGTCGTTACGAGTTCAGGAACAAGGGTGTCGACATGTTTGTTGAGTCGCTGGCACGCCTCAACCACCGCCTCAAGAGCGCTGGCAGCAAGATGACGGTCGTGGCCTTCATCATCATGCCTGCCCAGACGACATCGCTGACTGTCGAGGCTCTCAAGGGCCAGGCCGTCATGAAGTCGCTTCGGGACACTGTTGACATTATCGAGCGTGGCATTGGCAAGCGCATCTTTGAGCGCTCTCTGAAGTGGCACGACGGCGACCCGCTCCCCGATGAGAAGGAGCTGATCACCGGTGCTGACCGCGTCCTCCTGCGGAGACGCCTCTTCGCGATGAAGAGGCACGGCCTGCCTCCCATCGTCACCCATAACATGCTGAACGATAGCGAAGATCCTATCCTGAACCAGATCCGTCGGGTCCAGCTTTTCAACCACCCTTCTGACCGAGTCAAGGTTGTCTTCCACCCAGAGTTCCTCAACTCTGCCAACCCCGTCCTGCCCATGGACTACGACGAGTTTGTGCGTGGCACGCACATGGGCATCTTCGCATCCTACTACGAGCCTTGGGGCTACACCCCGGCCGAGTGCACCGTCATGGGCGTTCCCAGCATTACCACGAACCTGTCTGGCTTTGGCTGCTACATGGAGGAGCTCATCGAGAACTCGAGCGACTACGGTATCTACATTGTTGACCGCCGGATGAAGGGTGTCGATGACTCGGTCAACTCGTTGACCTCGCACATGTTCGACTTTTGCCAGAAGAGCCGTCGCCAGCGTATCAACCAACGTAACCGCACGGAGCGTCTCAGCGACCTGCTCGACTGGAAGAGGATGGGCATGGAGTACGTCAAGGCGCGCCAACTGGCGCTGCGCCGGGCCTATCCTGGATCGTTCCAGGGTGACGAGGAGGAGGACACGATCCTCGGTGTTGAGCAGAAGATCTCGCGACCTTTCTCGGTGCCTGGATCCCCTCGTGACCGTTCTGGCATGATGACGCCTGGTGACTTTGCCAGCCTGCAAGAGGGCCGCGAAGGCCTGAGCACTGAGGACTATGTCGCTTGGAAGCTGCCGTAAGTTCTGCTCTTCCCCTTGTCGAATTTCACCCCAACGATGATGCTGACCAAAATTTTGCCAGTGAGGAGGAAGACCCTGAGGAGTACCCCTTCCCGCTGACGCTGCGCACGAAGCGTGTCGGCCCACCTAGCCCCCTCGACGGCGTGCCTCTGCAACCCACAAACGGCAACGGCACTAGCAGCAGCAGCTAGATGACCGCCAGCGGTTGTCGTTACCATTCTACATACAAGTCTGGAAAAGGAAGGGTGGCACTCAGCTGGAGCGCTACAGGCTGACGAACACGAAACGCCTCGAGACATCTCCCACTCCGACACAGTCAAGCATGCGGGGGCGCATGACGAAAAGGACGGTGATATCAGGCAACATAAGATATCGGTGGATGCATCTGGCGGTCGTGTTGTCGAAGTGTACGAGATTGCGGCGAACTTGCATAGTAGATGAAGCAGGGAACGCGAGACGGCGAGTGACATGGTTGGGCACAGGGCCGAGTCGCATCTCAGCGCCATCACCATTGTATTTTGCTTTTGACACGAGGGGGGATTATAATAATTAAGCATCCATCTGCCCACATGACTTGTTTCCTGACTGCGTGTCTCGACACCGATTGAAAGATTGTCCCTATGCCACGAGACAGCAGATTGATGTGTGACGAGGCTCGACCATGCGCAGTTGCCTACCTTACCTGGTCATGTTGCTGAAGCCAGGCAGTCGGGAATGTTTGTGTCCGTGCTCCCGCTAACAAGAGAACTCAGGGGTCAGGGGTGGTTTGTACATGGGTGCTCGGAATGGGACGACCATGGAGATGGGGCCCCAAACAGACTGCGGGCCTCAACAGACTGCATTGTCCTTGACGCGGCACGTCGGTCAGCGAGTCGTGCACGATGCGGGATAGACGGCAACTCCCGGCGGCCCTTGGTCCAAGGGGATGGTCGAAGGTGGGTTTAGTGGGATTCGAAGGGAGCCTGCCTGTTCTGAAAGGCAAATGTGCGAGGACGGCGTATGCCGAAAAGGACTTCACTCGCCCCTACACATTTGTGACGCAGTAGACATGTTTGCACCACGTCTTGAAACCCAACTGTACAAGGTAGTTGTCGTGACTCACCTGGAAAAACATGTGTATAAGCCTGCGCAGCCGCAGAACTTCCAGAGTATCCTGATCAACGAGTTGCATCTTGCTCGCTCAGACCCGAAGCCGATGATGCCTGCGGCGAAGTATCTTAAAGACCACTACAAGCAGTCCGGGGGTCATGGCGCTGGAATCATTCGGTTGTGCACGGAGTTGAGGAAAGGAAAGACCCAACCCAGAAGCTGCACTTCGAGGCAAAACAAACCTGGACACTGCCAACATCATGAAGTCACAGGTGTTGCTGGACATACACTGATCGCTCATTTCCTGTACAGATTGTAGAGCGTCCATGGTGCTTCTCTGTGAACTGGGGGAGAATGCTTGTAGCTTCCAAAGAAGTCACGCTCATTATACTGGGTCGCAGCTGCGCATATTCTACAAAGGGTCTTCCTCAAAGGCGCCGTTTCCTAGGAAATCGTTACTTCTCAGGACGTGCAGGCGCAATGGTTCTCGGAAGGCCGAACCACGCAGGATGTATGAAACGGGAAGGCAATTCAAGACCGACCTCGAAGGAGTCAGGAGCGTCCTTCTCAACCCCTTCTCACTGCACAACCTTCTCTTTCTCCTCTTTTTCTTCATAATTTTAGATATCTCACAGCGTGCCTGATCTACAAGCGATTCCCAATCATGTCATCCCCCATCCTTATCGCCATCGTTACCATGGTGGCTCGTGCCGTCTCCCTTTCGATGATTTCTCGAAACAAGAGCGCCTGGTTTACCCAGCAACTCATGCCGGCTGGGCTCGAAGGTTCGGAGCCAACGGACCAGTTCGTGCATAGGGTTCTCATGGGGTGCCTGGTGGTGATCTTCGTCCTCCTTTGGAGGCGGGGGTCGACACCTGGCCGCCATCCAGGATACCTAATTGAGTAGCCGTTACGGCCTCCGTTCTTCAATCTTTCGCAACCTTTTGTTCCATCATTGTCCTCGGACGATGCTCTGGACGGTGTGACTGGTATTATACTTCTTCCAGATCATCCATCACATCTTTCAGTTCCCGGACTGAGGTGTAGCGAGCTTTGCTCGTGTTGGGCGACTGGCATTGCACTTCCGTCAGCCCATCAAGGTCTTTCGGGCCTTGATATAAGTTACCATCTATAACACCACCACTTCAGCTAATATCATGAATTTAATAGCCAAACAAGAAACATTGACAAAACAATATCGAGGAGGACTCGGGGCAGCGTCAAGGACGGACGGCTTGACGAACTATGGGCGAATATTTGGGGCGGACGTAAATGGCAGACACCAGGGGTAGCTGTCGAGATCTCCCCTTTTCTCTAATAGTGTCCCATGTACAAGTAGCAAGATTAATTTGGCCTTGGGCAACATGAATTGAACACATACGATCTGTACTGTGATGCTACGAACCCTGAGGTCCAGTTCCCAAGCTTCGCTGTGACGTTGAACTTTCATCTGGGCAGCAGGCTAAGCTACATCTACTACTTTCTTCTCTTCCAGATGATATAAATCTCTTCCAGATGATATAAACCATTTTTCACCCGCGCATGTCATAAATTTGGAACTTGGTCTTTCCTCCACACAACTTTCCGAACTCCATTTGCGGGCAATCCTCAACATTGACCCGGCACTGGCTCCGATGCAGGCATACTCCTCTTGGGGAAAGTCGTCGATGCCCTCTGCATGATTTTCGTGGAGAAGTGCATCGTCAGAAACCGAGAAACATTCATCGCCTGGTGCCGTCCCATCGAGAACTGACTCCACGTGCCCACAGCGCTGCGGCCCATTTGCGAAGGAGAGCCCGGCCCCCTGGACGACGACCTCCGTCCCATCGCCAGGTGGGTACCGGTATACTGCTGCTGTTCGTCCTGGCGTGCCAGTCCACTTCGACGAGACGTTCCACGTCATGGGGCTGCTGTCATGTTGGGGGGGCTTGCGATCCTTATCTGCGTATACTCCAACACCATGGCGGCGAAACGAAGGCGAATCCTGCGAGGGTGAACGGAGGCAGGGGCCGGCGGCACACCGCTGAACCCAGAAAGTGCTTTTTATTTCAATTTATGGGCCGCGATGATGCTGGGCACGATGCTGGCGGCGGGGTCACGCTGATGCGATGTCGGCTTGCAAGAAGGACTTGTACCGTCCCCAAGCCACCGTACCTACCTAGGTAAGGTAAGGTACCTAAGGTATATAATAGTTTAGAAGAAGCAACCACGTGGAATCACCGCGTGGGTTCGCTGGCACAAACTGTGCAATGGAGCATGCTGTGTTTGATGTCGGCGAATGTGACGAAGTGACATTGTACTTTCTATGTGATGCGGCCAATGAGCACGGAATCAGCACCGGTGCAAAGGTAGGCGACCACCAGTACGCGCTTCCAGAGGTCGAAGGATCGCCAGCACGCGACGCGAGCCACGCTCGAGGCCCAACGCGGGCAATCCAGCACCAACCAATGCAGCGACCCTCCTATCATGTATTCCGTCACGTCGAAGAAGGTCTCTTGCCTGCCATTCGGACCCCTGAAGATCCCACGACAAGTTAGCCTTTGTACAGGTAGCTCTCCATTCCTGGCCCCAAACCGCAGCGTCGCCCCTCCTTTTAAGGCCTCGTTTGCCATCCCTTTGAGAGGCGGCACACACCATCGGCAAGCAAAGGGGGAAGGAAATAGGGGCCCAGCGTGCAAACAAAGTTGGGGAGCTTGGTGGAATGCCAGGAGCTCTAGCAGCGTCTCAGCACAAAGAGCTACTGAGACACCCTGCCTTGCCTGCCTTGCCTGCCTCAGACTGCAGTCAGACTACAAGCTCGCAGCCGCCACTACGGTCAGACATCCGACGATCCTAGGCCCAAAGAACGCGCGCACCCGCCCAATTGGCCGTCTGCGTGCCTCTGGACCTCCTCCTTTTGGGCTGACAAGCCCCTCCCCCCTTGCCCCTGGCTTGCCTCACTGGGGACCACTACGGGCCTCTAACCACTGACCACTGACCACTGACCACCTACCCCAACCCCAACCCCAGGGTGCAGGCACCACCACGACTAGGCCCGATTGCCCGAATTTCGTTCTTCAACTATCCTTCCCCCTCTCTTCTCCTCTCCTTCCTCCGCAACATGAGGCTTCCCTTTCGCAAAATGGGCATCTTCAGCTTCCGGCGCAACAAGGACAAGAAGAAGGATGCCATCGGCGTTCCTTGGGGTCCGTCCTATCCCAACGGCGAGAACGGTCTCGATGCCAAGTCCCGGGCGCCCCTCTTTCCACCCACGCGCTTCTCCGCCCGTCTGATCGCTGAGCTCCCCTCCAACGTCCTCGAGCGCATCTTCGTCGCCGTGTGCCCTCAATCCCAGGATGAGTCCTACGAGACGTGCGAGCAGAGCGCTCTCGAAGATGGCTGCATGCTCTGCGACCTCAGGGATCTCGCCCACTGCGTCCAGGTCTGCAAGCAATGGCGTGCCGCTGCCAGGAAGCTTCTGTAAGTCCAACCGTGTCTTTCTGTCACTTGCACCATGCCTCACTGCCTGCGCCTGCCATGCCGTGTCCTTCTGGCTGACTCGGGGATTTGCCCACACACCAGATACCACAGCATTCGGATTGATCCCGTTCACTATTGCGCTCGTGAAGCCTACCTCGCCGAACTACGCAAGCGCCGCACCAAGTTCGATCGCAACGGCGAACCTGAGGACACGCCGAGCGCCCGCCTGAAGCTTCTGTGCCGTACCCTCCGCGACGACCCGACCCGCCTCGGCGCCCGTGTTCGCTACTTCAAGACGCCCTACATGCTGCGCGAAGCGGCGCAGGCCGATCTCGCTCGCACAATTGCCGTCCTGCCCAATCTGCTCTATGTCGACCTTCCCGAAGGACTCTTCTCCGACGACTCAGCCTACGCAACATTGCGCCTCGAGGTTGAGGCACGGTGTCCCAAGCTGCTGAAAATGACATATCGTGGCGGGGCAGAGCGAAGTCTGGCCAAGCTGGCACAGGGAACCATTTGGAGGCATCTAGAGGTCCTGGAGCTGATCAAAATCAACATGGACCCCAACGTCTTGCGCCACGTTCTCGCTGCGCTGCCCAACCTGCACGCGCTCAAGGTCACTGACAGCAGGGCCTTCAACGATGACGTCTTCGCCTACAACGAGATGCTGCCACCATTCCCCGCGCTCGAGCAGCTCGTGCTCACCAAAACGCCCAATGTCACGGCTGCCGGCTTGGTCGACTATCTGAGCTATCCCGAGACACGCGCCGCTCTCACCGTGCTCGCCCTCAACAAGACTGGCATAGAGATTCCCACCCTCCACGAGGTTGTCTCGCTTGCCACATCTCTGAAGTCCCTCGTCGTTCAGTGCAGGGTGGGTGGTCCTTTCAAGAGCGGCCCCCAGACACAGAGGCTGTCCTCGAGGTCGTTGGAGACATTGCGCTATGAAATCAGCAGCGATCCACAAGCAAGCCCATACTCCGGCATCACGCAAACCTACTACACCTATCTCGCCTCCTCCATCCTCGCCAATGGCCTCACAAACCTGCGAGCCGTCTACGTGCTCGACGCTGAGTTTGCCGACCAGCTCTCCGGTTTACCGCCTCCGCCTCCCCGCGCCTCCTTTGCCCAACACGGTCGTCCTTCCTCCTCCGGCTCCGGCCTCTCCAAGTCGCCTCATGGCAACTTTCTCGCGCCAAACATTACAGGTGGCAATGGTGGTCTTCAGCCTCCGATGCGCCCCTTTGCCCCGTCTGGTGCCCCGGCCTCCAACCGTTTCAGCTCGAACAATCCTTTCGCCGGCACGGGCTCCCTGACGCACACGCTCGAGGTCTTTGCCAAGAAGGACGAGGCCATGAACTGGTCGTTCGTCAAAGTCTCGCCCACGGCACAGCTCGGCCCCGCGCCCTCGCGCTATAGCATGGTGCCGGGGGCGCTGCAGAGCGAGAGGCCCATCAGCTCCTACGGACTCGGCGCCGACATGCTCGGCAACGGGTGGAACACGGCCGGCGCGCGACGCAGCGTCATGGTAGGCAACGGCATTGGCGGCTTCACGGCCTTGCCGCAGGATGCACCACCGCCCATGCCCAGCGGGCTGCAGGCTGGCGGGGACTCGTGGCCGCGTCCCGTCAGCAGTGCTGGAGAGAAGAGGGGCGATCGGGACATGTGGCGGTGAGGGGATGGTCTTGAGGATTGGGTTTTTCCTTTAATGAGGGCGGTGGAGAAAAGGTCGGCCGGGGGGATTGTAGGTTTGGCGCTTTTCAATGTGAGTTTCACGCGCATCCCTCCGCATAGGAGGAGGGCCAGAGGGGCATTGGGATGTGTGCCTGGAGCAGGCAGCTATGCGCACAGCCGCGGAATCGAGGCAAGCGGCTCATCGATTTCGCATCTCAACTTCTTCTACATTGGGGAGATTGTTCTTTTTTTGTACGATAGTATACCCCGCGTTGGAGCAGCGTTATGATGTGTGATTCAACGAACTGTTAGTCGTCCAGCTTGGATCGAGGATTGATGTGTGGCCTGTAGAGCGCGAGTGACTCAACTGTAGGCTTCATGGCAGTATTTGATCGTTGTCCGGTGAGGGTCATATCAGCACCAGACCAGGGGGCAGTGGTTCTCACGGGGTGCTGAACCTTCTGCCGCACCAACGGTTTTTGTCACTCGCCCACATTGTTGTTCCCATGTCCGGGGCTGAAGATACCGTTTCTTGCCTATGTTGTATATGTCAACCATGCTTGATCTGGAACTAATGTTGATGTGTGTTTCTCGGAAGCCTGGAGTGAGGCCTTGGTGACTCGGCGTTTGCGTTGTGTATATAATCTGCCTTCATTATAGGACATGGAAATCTTCAACTCGTGGCTTATGCGGGAAGACTCTTCTCATCTCGAAGTGCGAAATACGGAATTACAGGAGGTACGTGATATGACAGCTAGTCATTGCGGGATTGGCGATTTATGTTTGATTAGTGCTTGCCAACGATTGAAACTTTTCATACAACGCCAATGCAGGTTCGGAATCGGGTCAAGCATCTGAGGGACCTCGGCCTGGGAGAATAGCGTCTTCGAAAGCATAGCAGCTGCTGTTGTCTTAGAGAGAGCAGAAATACGGCCAGCTAGAATTGTATCATGCCTGACAGGCCGCGGACCAAGACTACATCCCTAGGTCGTCTCTGCACATCCTGAAAACGAGTCAAGACCTGAGTTTGATATTGGACGGGCGTCATCCAGCTATGGTCGTCAGTCAAGGCCAGCAACATGAAAAGCCAAGCCAGAACGAAGCGAAAGACATGCATCGCGACTATTCAAGCCGATCAACGACGAACGTTCATCCTTCGCCCACGGAAGGAAGCAAAGGACGAAGGCGAAGAGCCGAAGATCCCCTATTTAGAACCCCCAGAGGCGTTGGATCAAGCGCGGTCTCGCGGTTCAGTAGCGCCCCTCGTGGCAAATCGATCAACACGTCAGGCACGACTCTGGCCGTGTTCCTGGCGTAGTCCCGTCGACGATCTCCCAGTCCTTCGAGACCATCCCAAACGCCATCGTCTCCCATGTGCATTCACACCCTGCGTCTCATTCGCCAGGCTAGCACGAAGGAAGCACTCCTGTTCTTCCTCTGCCCGCAGCCCGCCAGACACCCTTCCATGACTCCATGGGGGAAAAAAAAGGTCTCCTTCCCAGCGCATGCATCATCTACCAAGGCATTTCAAGGCCACGTTCGCCAAGGGCCCCGAGATTTTCTGCTGGCTTCTTCTTGCGTGCATGTGGCACTCGCGCGTGCGAGGCATGGCGGTACATTGTCTTTGACGAGCATACTGTGTGACTTCATGCCTCCAGAGCAAAGATGGGTGGGTGCGTGACGCACGAAAAGCCGGTTCCTCTGCGGAGCAGCATCCCGGTCGGGACCCTGCAGGTTACGACCACGCGGTTCGTCCGGCCCACGCCGTTGACGGGGGCCTTAGTTGCCCTTGATGGACAGAGGATGGCGGCCGCGAGATCGTAAGGTCATCCGCTTTCGCAGGAAGAAAATTGCCAAAGATTCGTCGCACTCAATCCGTATGGCTATTTCGCTGTATACATTATGCACTTTGTCGACTGTAGGTACAAACCCAACGACGAGCGTCAATTGTCCCCAAAAATTGTATGCATTTCGCGACGGGCCAGTCCAGAGGCTGACTGACCACCCGCACGACGTCACGATGCAGGCGACGCAACCCCAAGCACGGCTTGCACGGCTTGCACGACCGGCATATCCCTCACCCTCCTCCGACCCCCCGCTTATCGACGACATGACCCACCATCATGGCCAGCATCGCGTACGCGGACCTTTCGGCAAGAACTGGGTAAGGGTCGGGGGAGAGAAGCCTGGAACATGCTGCATCTGGCAGATGGGCGCCTCACCGGTGGCTTGACGACTTGACGACTTGACGTCTTGACGTCTTGATGGCGTGACTGCAGCGCGTCCCTGCTGTAGATGCTCCGCTGAAAAAACCTTTGCAACCGGGCCAGGGTTTCTTCCCCCCCTCCCCCAAGCAAGCCAGCGCAGGTTTTCGAGGCACGCAAGCACCGGAGGGAACGCTGCCAGTTCCTGCTGCCAGTTCGTGGGCAGCAAGCAACCTTGTTTGCGGGGGTGGGTTTTCCTTCGTCAGCCACGCCAGGGTCCTGTGATGTCATGGCCAGACACGCCCTTCATCGGCGGCTTCGCGGGTCCGGGGTGGGGCATGTTTGCGGGCGGGGCCGGGTATTCCCTTGGTACCTACCTTAGATACGGAGCTCCGGCCCCAAGGCACACGGCGTCCACACCCACGGTAGGCAGCCATCGGGAGGATGGTGTGCAAGGCATTGCGATTGGGCCTCCACAGCGCCCGTGACAAAACCCCCACCGAGTCACATGTTTCTTTGCCGGGCGATCCTCTCAAGATGTCAGGCTCGGCCAATCCCGCCGTCAATGCACTGCAGTTCAATGTCAAACAGCTGCCCGAGCGTCTTACCATGCCAGAGATGCGCGATGCGCGGGGTAGAGTTTCGGATACGCCGACCTTGCACTGTCATCATACACAGCTCGGGTTGGCGGGGGTTTCCGACTCATGCTAGGGCAGGTTGGTCTCTTTGTCTGATATGCAAAGGCACAGAAACGCATATCGATACCTTCCGACGGCGGTCACCATTGTGCCATGCTCAGCAGCTGGTCGAGGTTCATGATTCGAGGAGCACCCAAATATCTCCCCTGGACCAGATTCGTCTGATCTCACTCTGCTGCATGACAGAGGCCACCGTGTATGCATGAGAGGCGTGATTGCTTCTACATCTCAGATACAGCCCAAGAAATGGAGCTGGCTAACAACGTGAGGGCAGCGGTCTGACGAGAGACCCTGGGCTATACATCTTGCCTCTATGAATGTACCGATCGTACTGTGTTCCCACTGTCGGGGGCCAGTGAGATGCGGCATAAGCACTCAAATTGCAGCATGTATACCTACCAGAAATAGACAAACGAGTCGTGAAACTTGTCCTTTTTTTCGAGCCACCAAGACTGGGGGCGCCTTCCTCCCGCCCCCGAGCGAAACCTCCATGTCGTGCTCGATGCTGGCAGGCGCAACCTCTAGGTGTAACGGAATCGTCCTCGAGCCTCTGCCGAGCACAGACAGCAGAGGTTGCACTCGAGCAAAATCGCCGTGAACCCGAAACGACACTGCCCTGGGGGCCCAATCGCCATGTAGATGCAGATACCAACAGGATCGCTCGCCGCTGCACCACCGTCCAGCAGACATATACATCGGGCGGATTCGATCCAGTCAGCATCCCAGGACGGACAAGCACCAAGAGGAAGACCGCAGCAAGTTCAGCCCTCATGTAAAGCATCTTTCACAGCCAAGAAGGACCCCAAGTTCAGGGTGAGCACAAGCTAGCTCGAAGCCCCCCCCTCCCCAAGACCCCCAGGAACGAAACCGCTGCCACGGGCAGGACACTCAGTAAGCAATGGCAATTGCGCTACGAGTCCTGGCAGGAAGTCAAAGGATCCAATCCTCTCATCCTCAGAGGATCAGCCAATGTGGGGTGTCCGAGGCGCGGCTCCGCCCTGTCAGCTGCGTGCGGCTGTGCGGGCAGCGGACGTCGGGGGCTACCCGCGCAAATAGTCAGTACGCTGCGCCCGACTTCGGGAACATGACGACTTACTTGCCCAGCGCGACGGTGTCATGGGGGCGGCCTGCTGCTTATTCTCGGGCTACAATGTGGCACACTTGCGACAACTTCAAATTGGGGTCCGTGACAAGTAGGGGGTGGGGGGGCTGAAAGCTCCTGGAAATGCCGTGAGCAGTCATCCTGAAAAAGATTGCCACACACACACACACACACACACACACACGCCGAGTATCACCTATGCGCCCGACAGGCCGCTCAATTCGCGGCCGCTCACCTCCCACCGTCGCGCCTGCAACGCCCAGAACGACAGAAAGGGGCCTCCGACGAATACAAAGTGCACTGCATCGGCCGATAGCAGGCGGCAGCTAAGATGATGGGGTGAACGGGTGAGCGATGCGCCGGCGGAGAATGAGACGGGGTCCGATGATACCCTCCCTCCTCCCTTCGCCCTTCTGATGCGAATGATGATGCCCTCTCCAGTCTCTGCGGGGGCCACATCGCACAGGTGAGATCAGACGATCGCGCAACAGTTGTGTTTCCGACCAGAATCCTGCGCGACCGCGGCGGCGAGGAGCCCGGTGTCGATCAAGCGGATAGGCATGCACATCAGTGACGGCAGAGGAGATCTCGCGACATTCTGAAACGGTGATACTCTTGAGCGTGATGACGATGGCAGGGATAACCAGATGGTACATCAATGGATCACAGGGCGGGGGCGTGAAGCTCGTGCTTGCAACTATCGGGACCTGCGACAACGATGGGCGCATGGGGAGTGGCGGCAGGGTCGCTTGGCAGAGGATGACTTGTCTGGAATGTGATGAATTCTTCAACACCCTGACGTGAAGATGTGTGGGCACACACACACATAGAGAGTCTCATTCTCTCTCTGGTAGTACAGTGTAGATGTTTCGGGCGACCTTGTACCGCCTGTCGACCCACGAGCCAGAGCGAGGCAGGGTGGGCAGAGCGGTCAGCGGCGGCCACTGCGAAGTGCTTGTGATCGGATAGGCGGACGCACCGCAGTCAAGGTCAAGTCGGAACAAAGCACTCGAGTATTGACTCGCAGAAGTTCTTCGTGCCTTTGTTTCTCGTGAAAGAGGGTAAAGAACCCATTTTTAGAAAACCCAACGGGCAAACCCGAACGACACCTAAGCCGGGTCAGGACTAGGGGGATCGCAGTAGTGGCCCGCCTCGCTCGTGTCGGCCCCGGCGTGTGGCTGGTGGCTGAACGGCTGGGAAGCTGAAGAGCCGGACAGCTGGAGGACTGGACAGCCGGCCAACTGGCGCGCCTGGAAGAGGCTGGAGAAGGTGTGTGGCTGGTGGCTGGCGCAACCAGAAGTGGGCAAGGTGGGTGAGGTGAACTCGACGATGGATGGATGGCCTGTGCTCGTCGAGGTCCTGCAGCTGCAGCTGCAGCTGCAGCCAGCACCTGGCATGACGTTAGCGAGTCCTCTCCACCGACTGCTGCACCGTGCTGGGCACAGAGAGGCAGATGAGGCGGGCAAGCGCGAATCGACAGAATGGCACGGGGTCCACTGCCAACCTGTCCGAGCAAAAGACTTGAACCATGATCTGGCGATGCAACGCCATGCATGCGTAGCAGCTTTTCATACCTATGTATGGAGCATTCCTGAACCTCGTGCTTCTGCCACCATCGGGCGCCAGTGACCCAAAGTGGCACCCCCGCAGTGGAAGGAAAGTATCGCAGGTCTGACTACAAAGGAAGGAACAGTTGAAAGTTCGTCGATAGGATTTTTTTTTCCGCACCCTCGCTCTGATGAGAGGGGCCTGCAGATGCAGGTGAGGCTATCCTCGACCTTGAGCCTGCATGCTGCAAAGAGTCGGGCCTGGTCGGACCCGATGCACTGTGCCAGGGTCTGCAAGCGGCGGCCGATAGGGGGCGGCCTGGAACCCCAGCACGGTGCGCGCGCGACCAGGTTCGCCCATGGTGCTCTGCTGCGGTGTTTCGACAAGAACGGCCAGCGCTTCCATCGCTGAGCATCGATAGGAGGGGCACAGAAGGCCGTGGCAAACGCGCCTTTTTCGTCCCGTCTCGCCGAAACCAAACATTCATGCCGTACACAGCGGTCCGGATCTCAAGAGTGTTTTGTCGAGCTCACCCAGGGCACCCGTCAGGGCCCGTGGCCTCGCCCACATCGTACAGCGTCCGTCAGAGAACATCAGACGAACGTCAAGGTGTGGTCGGTCAGGGCCAAGAAGTGTCTGCTGGGGGACCCCCGAGGCGACGCTGTTTCATGTCGGTGAGGATGACCTGCGCACCCCGGCGCTTGCTGTTGACGGGCCTGAAGGCGAAACTCGAGGGTAAGGGTGGGGGTGCTCTTTGCACCGGGATGCCAGGAGGAAACAGGTCCATGGGGGAAGGAGGCCCGGCTGTGAGCCTATCTATTCTGACAGGCCTTCGTTTTTTTCCCCCTCTCTTCTTTCTTCCCTGTGTCGAGAGACAAAGTGACAGGAAAAGGGGAGCCAAAGAGCTTCGAGAGCCAGCAACCTCGATGTCCTCGTTTTGCCGCAGGGTGATGACCCAAGAGAAAAATATGGGCTCGACTGGCGGTCAGCGGGGAGATGGGAGGGCGAGAGAGCGCATCGGCATGCCTTGATTGCGCTGTGATTCGTGCAGCACCGAAACTCGGCCGACGAGATGGTGTGGTGGGCAGAGAGCGCCTCGAGGCGACGATGTCGTCGCTCTGTGGCCTCGGTGCACCAGTGAGAGAACCAGTGAGAGCGCGCAGGAGCTCCCCTTCCTCTTCTCGCCTTTCCGAAGGAGTCGCGAGCGATGCACGGTGCAGGCAGGTACCAGGCGGCACAGACACTCGAAATCAAGGGGACGCCAGCACCACGATGCGTCTCGTGCTTCAGAAGACTTCTCTCCGTGGGCCCTCGATTTCCGGATAGCGCTGTGCCCGTGCCATAGCTCGAGGCCCATAGCCCAGAGCCCATGTCCCACGACCCGCCAACCCACGACTTTCTCACCAGACATGGGAGAGGCGAGCCGACTACTTGCTGCAGGACAATTTGGAGGGAAACATGACATGATGCGCATCTACATACTCGATACTCCGGGCACCGTACAGTAGCAAGGGGCGTGTGTGCCAATGTCGAAGGGGACAGTCAAGTCCCGGAGGGGACCCGAGGAAGCTCCGCAGATCGTAATGCCGTGAGGTGTTCGTGACCAGAAGATCTCTTCGCCGGCAAGTGATAAAATGAGTGAGCTCTATCAGTTGAGGGTGAACGGGCGATGAAGGGATCCGTTGACCGCCGAAATTACGTTCGTAGGCGGATCTCACCTCACTGGCACCACACGCCCACACAACGTACAGCAACCGGCGAGCATCGGCAGCGGCGGACGGACGCGGACAGGCCACGGGTTTGCGACTTAAATTGGGATCCAAGTCTGATCATGGGGCGTGAAATCTCCCTGGAAATGATGATGCGGATCTCGCGGCGTTGGGTCTGTGGGCAAACTTTGGAGGGGACTTGACTCGAGCGGGTCACGATGTTGTGCTGGGAAACGAGACAAATTGGGCTGCTGCTAGATTGTGAAGGGCGAGTGCAGTGCAGTGAAGCAGGTGCAGCCGCAGCAGCAGTACCAGCAGTAGCAAGCCGCAGCAGCTCCTGCTACTGCCGCAAGAGGCCAACCAGCAGCTCCGATGAGAGCAGCGAACCAATGGCTTCCCCTGCGCTAATTGTTTCTGGTCGTCTGATGAACGGGCTGTGGCTTGGGATCATCATCATCATCATCCCCAGCCATTTTACTGTTTGTCGGTCATGAAGATGGTCGTTTTCAATGCTCTTCGAACAAGAAAGAGGTGAAGTGAGCATGTGGAATGATTCTGGTCATGAGGAGCGACTGATGGATTTGCATGCCCGGTGAGTACCGGGGACATGGATGATGGTCTTCCCTCTGCTCTCTAGGGACACCTGCCTCAGATCTCGTTTAACAGCGCCGGTAGTGGCGGCCGTGAGCAGGTCGCCATGGCCATCGGTGCTCATCTCCATCTCTCCATATCTCCATGACTAGGTAATAAGGTAAGTACAGTATCCTTTCTCTGTCCTCCGAACGCGCTCATGTCGACTGCCCACCCCAGAGCGCGTCCAATCTATTTGACGAACATTCAATCTTCGACGTGATCGAGGGAGAGCGGACGCGCCGGAACGCTCAAGGAGCTCCCTTCATCCATTTCACTCTATTCAATCGTGGTGCTAGGGTGAGAATTGCATGTTTCTTAGATGAAACAGAGGAACACTATCGCTCTCTGCCCACCCCTCTCTTCTCCCACTATCGAGATGCAGGGCAGAGAGCAAGGAGGACAGGGCACGTCAGGGCAGGACACCTGACAGGATGGAAGGGGCGGCAGCACCTACTGTAAGGCAGCCACAGTAGCTCTGAGCGGCAGCGGCAGAGCCAGCCAAGGCTGTGAGGGTTAGTTTCGTGGATAGCGCGAACCACAGAGAACCTAAGGACCAGCCCCCCCCGGCCTGCGCCGTACGAACGCCAACAGGGACACTGTGCGCGAGGTACCTCCTGGACCCCTCCATGGTGGGCCCACTCGTTTGTGCAGACGCTCTGCCGGGGTCCCCCCCTCCATCACGCATGCATCCATGCACTTGGCACCTCGTCCATCTTCCTCTACCCCCAAGGGCAATGAACGGCCCTTGCCCACCGCAATGAACAGCCCTTGCCCACCACCATGACGGCCACGCTTGCCCAGCCCAGAAGCCAGAATGTCGCCAACCCGTACATAACCATGGGGGGCTGCACCTTCCATACCTCCTACCCCAGTTCCCATGTTCATAACCAAGTCCCAGCCAGAATAAAATATTCAGCTGTCCAACCGACCCCCCTTCGGCTGCTACATAGTACTCCTCCTCCTCCTCCACGCGCAACCATTCCATCTTTCACGATACTATCCTCTTTTCCATTCCACGTCTCGGCTGGTACCACCTCTTCCAACATCCCACCAGTTGGCTGTCGATCAGCCCGTTTCCTTGCCGTGACCTCATACTTCAAGTGAGACCTTGCCGTCTCAGGATACACTCTAGCAACCTCTACCACTTTTTTCTGCTGTCTCCTGGCTGAGGGACACAATGTCTCTGGTCGACCACACCATCCCTTCTAGGGAGTCCACGCATTCCATAACCCACGCCGCAACCTGCGTCCAGGACGAGCTCCACACCCAGGACAAGCAGCCCTCAAATAACGAGTCGTCTGCCCCGTCCGACGTCTCTTCATCCTCTGCCACTCACGATAACGATATCAAGTACCAAGACAACATGCTCGACGAATACTACGACGCCGACGACATCATGGCCACCGAGTCTGCCAAGACTGAGGCGTGCCTCAAGTCTGGAGACGCACCCGCCCTCCCTCCGAGGAGCAACCTGCGATCATCTCGACTCCTGAATGCCTTCACCATAAAGCTTGCCGCCGATGAACAGACCACGACCCTGTCTCGTGCCACACCGCAAGACGTCTATCTCTCGTCCGAAGAGGACGCCTCCTCTTCTGCCGACGAGTTTGACGAGTTCTCCGACTACGACTTTGAATCCGAGAGCGAGGAGTCGACCGGCTCTCCTGTCAGGAGGAAGAGCCACGAGGACACGGCCAAGGTCGTGTCGGTTGTCTTCATCGGCAAGCCCTCAATCATCGACCTCCCTGCCACCCGCCGCTCCGCCTCACCCACTTCCTCCCCGGGCAGGCCCCAGAGCAGCCTGGGCACGTCTGTCACTGAGCCTTCGCTGTGCCGCCTCTCCATCTCCTCCTCCTCCACCGGCGTCTCCTTCAACCCGACCCACCCGCCCAGGTCCAGCAGCATGTTCGTTGGCGCCATGGCGAAGCAGAAGCCTGCCTTCCTCAGCATCGACCCATACGCTGGCAAGACGTACGAGCAGACGCTAGACGAGGAGCGTGAGTCGGATCAGCCAGTGACGCCTCGCACACCAACGGCCATCCTCAAGAGGGGACTCAGCATTGTGCGCAAGCGAAGCAAGCCCGCTCTCAAGGATCAATTCAACTCAGCCTCGACTGCATCTCTCCCCCTCGAGACCAAGGAGCAGGCTTCACCCGCCGCCACCGGTCCCATTAGTTACAACGACATCATGAAGGCCGCCAAGAGGAATACTCGCGACTCGGCGCTCATGTCTCCAGCATCTCCTGTCGCTTCTTCCCCCGTCTCGTCAACAGGAGGCAAGAACAGGATACTGAGCAGCTTCCACAGGAGGAAGAGCATCAAGGCATAATCGTCGCCTCGACAATGGTCTCGGCGACGACACGCAAAAAGAAAGAAAAAAACACCACATCACCACTACCACATACTTAATCGGATATTTGCATTTGGTCACGAATATTTGGCACGGCGTTCTCTGTAGGGGACAGGGCAGGGGGGGGGGAGAGACTGATTTACCGGCGTTTCACAGTCTGGTCCCGCGGTACAGGGCAGACAGGCATGGTGATGGGCCCATCACTGGGGGCGACGGCGCTTGCGGATACACACACTTACAATCCTTTGTTCTTTTTCCCGTTGTCTTGAGACACCAGCGTCGTTGATTCGGACGGGCGGTGAAATGCAGATGCAACCGGGGCGGTCAAACTGTCCCGGAGACGGGTCTCCTGGCAACAAGCCAATCCACGGCATTAGGCCGAGGGGTCGAAAGACAGCTGCTCACAATGATACCAATCACGTTCTTTTTCCCACACACTGGCGCTATTCATCTCTGATCGTGTCTTGCCTCTTGTCTCGTTCCATGTGAAGTGATGTGTTAGGCAGGCGAGCGTCACGGGTGTCATGGTGCGCGTTTGGCACGCAAGACGGGCCGCCTGCGGTTCTGACGTTACACTGGCATACACAGTAACCTGTCTCATGGGTTTTCGATTTGGACCCCAATACACCATGTAGCCTGACATTCTGGAGGCTGCACAATGCAGGAACATGGCTCCTGGCTGGGGAACACCGAGGGCCAGGCCCGGACGAGGTACCGCACGGTGAGAGATGTGTGTGCACTGACTGCGCTGCCTGCCGTACGCACGCGGCACGGCTGTCTGCCTGCCTGCCTGCCTGTCTGTCTGTCTGTCTGTCAGTCAGTCGCCTGCGAGGTGACATTGCGGATGGAGTGCCCAGGGTGTGTGGCGACGGGCTCGGCACGCCAGATGGACTGACATGCACAGCGCCCGTCTCGTCCTCATTTCGACTATCGGGGGCTGTCGTCTCGTTTCCCCAGGCGACAAAGACAAGGTGTTGGTTTGGTGCTCGATGCCCCCCCCCCCACCTGGCCATTGTGTTGTGTCCATGTACGTTTGTATGTGTGCGTATGCATGCGGACATTGTCTGCCTGACAGCATTCCCGGTGCTGATGGTGGGGCCTTTTCATAGATGAAGCGGCTTTGTTCTTTTTTCTGGATGCCAGCGTTGTCTCGTTGCGGGGCGAGGAGGCGGGCCGCGCGCGCAGAAAGATGGGTTTAGGTGTCTCAACGCCATATGTAGGGAGGGCCGGGAGAGGCTCTTTTTTGAACGGGTTCGCAGATTTTGCCTGGGAAATGGGAACCTCAAGGACATGAGACAGATCATGAGTAGACAGGCTTGTGTGATATTGAGTTGTTTTGCGGCTTCGTCATGATCGTCATGGTGCTGTGCTGCTGCTGCTGGCTGTGCGTGTGTTACTCTGCGTCTGGTTGCGATATCTCCTGATCGGCTCTGCTACCGGGCTGGTCCATCGTGCTAGTGCAGAGCAGCGTCTACCGCACAGGCCTCTGTAACTTTCATGTAACTTTCATCTTGCTGCTCTTTCTACGTGCTCGCAGTGCCTCGCGCCGTGATGCCTGGCAGGCCTGCCACGGGCACAGAGATGCCACTTCGCATTAAGCTTGTTGGCCTTGGTACAGGGTCGGTGCTTTTAGCGTCATGGAGCAGCTGCTCTTTCGTATCGGCCGTTCTCCCTCCACTGTGCTCAGTGACAAGAGAAGAGTGGCTCCCCTAACCTAACGCCGGCCGGTGCACCTCACGATGGCCATCTAGCGGCCCGGGCTCAGGCGGGAGATCATATGTCGCTTTCGTTATTAACTAATAAGGTACTCAGACCGACGGTTGCAGGATCCTCTCGACGACCAAGGCGTTCCGCGTTCGGTCTTGGGTTTTGTTTTTCTGCCTTCCCTCTCTTTCATCCTCTGGTTTCTCTTACGTGAAGAGCAAGGCACGGAAAGCAAGAGAAAGAAAAAAAAAAACCAACGACCGGTCCTGTCATATCCACACGACACGCCGCCAACGGGGATTTATTGGCACAAGTGTCTGTGCATAACGTGCAATGGCGTGTGCCCGTCCGTGAGCCGTGTTTCCTATCCTCATGGCAGAACGACCAGCCGTCTTCTGGCATGCCAATCTCGAAAGAAAGAAAGAAAAAATGACTTGAATAGGGGGGCCCGCCAGATGAGATCCGCTTCTCGGTGAGAGTCGGCCGGCCGGTTGGATACAAGGGACATTATCATGACAGCAGGAGACAGGGTGACTGACCTCTTGACCCTGTGCTTCTCAAACCACGCCATGCCAGCCTGTACGCCTCTTTCGCTTGCAGACTATCCTGCTCTTGGCGTCCTGGCGGACAGGACATGTTTGAAGAGATGGCCAGGGACAACAAAAATTCCCGTCAAACGTGCAGGGTCCCCCTTCGTCTCTCGGCCGGAGTCGCAAACGAAAACCGATCGCCGTGCCGAAATGAAGGTGTCGGTGGACAACGCCTAAGGTGGGACTCAGTAGGTTGTTGGTCCTGTGCGGTACGGGGCCTCTGTTCAGGGGGGACCCTTGGCGACGGGAGAATCCCTACCCACCCCTGTGCATCTCTGAATGTGGGGGAGGCGATACGAAGCGGACATTGGGCGTTGGTCCTCTCGTGGATCGTGCCCGTTTCTTCTCTTCTTGAGAAGGGGGGGGCGGCCGTCGTTTCGCATTGAGAGACGGCGCGGGCTTCTGGAAGGATTGGGGAGATTGGGGAGATTGCCCACCAAACTAAAAGAAGCACGTGTGGTGTTCGGCTCAATGAGGGAGGAGGGAAGTTTTCTGTGGTTTGGGAATCGCGAAGCCTCTTTTTTGTTCTGTTTCCCTCACCGCTCGTAAGATTCAGGGTCGATCGATTTATCCCGCGTCGGTCATTTGAGACTTGGCCACATCGGAAGATTGATGCGGGCTGCGTCGCTCGGAGAGAAGAGGTACCGCGGGCGGGCTCGCGCCATGTTCGGCGGCAGAGGCTCCTTTTGTCCTGGCTCCCCTATTAAGGACGCCTGGCTGACCTCTTCGATAGATGTCGTGCAGCAGACGGCGATCTTCATCTTTGCCCTGGTACATACCTGCACAGTATCACCGCCATGGCGGCGTCCATGTCACCATCTCCAGTCTGGAAGGGCATACAAAGGTCATGGGGGTGATGCAGTTCCATGCCAGCATCATGTGCGGCGCCTTGCAGCAGCCAGTCAGCAGCCCCTTTCCGCTTCAAAACGAAGCCATTCGCGATGAGGGTAGCAAGCCATTCGCGATGAGGATAGCAAGGGCGCGGACTTCAGCACAATGATCCAAG